TGGATATAGAGTTCAAAACCACGGTTATAAGGTTTTTCAGGAATTTTCTAGAAACCGCCTGGACCAGTTTGGCTCAGTGGATAGAGCATCGGCTTGCAGACTGAAGGGTCCAGGGTTCGATTCCGGGCAAGGGCATGTACCTTGGTTGCGGGCACATCCTCAGTGGGAGGTGTGCAAGAGGCAGCTGATCGATGATTCTCTCTCATCGATGTTTCTAGCTCTCTATCCCTGTCTCTTCCTCTCTGTGAAAAATCAATAAAATACTGTATATTAAAAAAAAAAGAATTTTCTAGAAACCACTGATAAATTTAGTGACACCTTCGAGGATATGAAAAAGGACCAACTAGAAATTAAGTTTACACTGACTGAAATAAAAATAATAAGCAGAGATCCAGCAGCAGACTAGGGGATTGCAAGAATCAAGTCAAAGATTTAAAATACAAAGAAGCAAAAAACACCCAACCAGAAAAGCAAAAAGCAAAAAGAATCCAAAAATATGAAGATAGTGTAAGGAGCTTCTGGGACAACTTCAAGCGTACCAACATCAGAATTATGGGGATGCCAGAAGAAGAGGGAGAGCAAGATATTGAAAACCTATTTGAAGAAATAATGACAGAAAATGTCCCCTACCTGGTGAAAGAAATAGACTTACAAGCCCAGGAAGCACAGAGAACCCTGAACAAAAGGAATCCAAAGAGTCCCACACCAAGACACAGCATAATTAAAATGCCAAGGGCAAAAGACAAAGAGAGTATATTAAAAGCAACAAGAGAAAAACAGTTACCTACAAGGGAGTACCTATACAAATGTCAGCTAATTTCTCAACAGAAATTATGTAGGCCAGAAGGGAGTGGCAAGAAATATTCAAAGTAATGAATAGCAAGAACCTACAACCAAGATTACTCTACCTCAGAAATGGAGGTCAGATAAAGAGCTTCACAGATAAGAAAAAGCTAAAGGAGTTCATCACTGCCAAATCAGCATTATATGAGATGCTGAAAGGTATTCTTTAAGAATAGGAAGAAGAAGAAAAGGGTAAAGATAAAAATTATGAACAACAAATACATATCTATCAATAAGCAAATCTAAAAATCAAGTGAATAAAAAATCTGATGAACAGAATAAACTGGTGAATATAATAGAATCAGGGGCATAGAAAGGGAGTGGACTGACAATTCTCTGGGGGGAAAAGGGTGTGGGGTGTATGGGAAGATCCTGGACAAAAATCGTACACTTATGGACGAGAACAGTGGAGAGGGGGGTATGGGCATGGGGTGGGGTGGGAACCGGGTGGAAGGGAGATATAGGGGTATGGGGGGAGGAACAACTGTAATAATCTGAACAATAAAGTTTTATTTTAAAAAATAGATCATGACGATCTATAACACATATATACTCAGAAATACATTTAATCATAAGAAAAAAAGAAGCGAACTCATATATACTGACAAGAAAAGATGGCTATAATATATATAGGTAAGTGAAGAAACCAAATTGCAAAGCAATATTTAAAGCATGTTCTATTAAACATATGTGTGTACTTTTATAAGTAAATATAGATCTGTCTAAATAAACTTTTGAAAAGTTGAAAAGGAATTTTACTAAGTGTTAATAGCAATTATCTAGGTAGGAAGTTGAACCAGATTTGGGTGGGGGGAATTTACTATGGAGTGAAACATGGGATGCTTCTAAAGCAGGATAGTAAAAAGCTAGGAAAATTCCTGGGCAAGTGGAATGGGGAAACAGACAAAATAATTAAACAAGACCAAACAATTTGAACAACTTACAGCCAGCCAGAGAATCACAGAACCTTCCCTTCCCTAACCAAGAACACTTGAGAGCAAATGGTTTATACCTTCCTCCCTAACCAGAGAATAAACAGCTTAAGTCACCTTTGTTGGGGAGATAGGTAACAGAGACACAATTAGTACCATTTGTGCCAGCAAAACCCAAGGACAGATGAAGTTTGGGGAACAACAAACAAAAAACCTGATTAGCCCTAGTTGGTTTGGCTCAGAGGATAGAGCATCAACCTGTGGACTGAGGAATCCCAAGTTTAATTCCAGCCAAGGGCACATGCCCGGGTTGTGAGCTCGATCGCCAGTCGGGGGCATGCAGGAGGCATCATTGATGTTTCTATCTCTCTATTCTTTTCCCTTCCTCTCTGAAATCAATAAAGATACACACCAGTATATATATCCTGATTAGCACCAGACAAACCCAAGATGAAAGTAAAACAGTGAAGCTGACCAAAGAATAATCCCATACTCCCCTATACGGTCACTTTATTGAATCAGCATATTTTAAATGTACCTGGAAAGCTAATGAATATTCTACTGAAATCCTCACCTAAGATTCTTGTCCACAGAAGGAAGATAAAAAACCCCAAGATTAAGACCTGGTGCAGGCTCATTCTAGAGCGTGCCCGTGCCCCTTCTTAGGGATGAACTTTTTTCTTCCTCCTAAACTCTAAGGGTCCCCACAAGTCTTGCAACCAAGGGAGCAGTAGCCAGAGGCAATCTATCCCAGGATCACTCCCTGATCCTGTCTAAGGCCCTCTTTGACTTCCCAGTGAGCTGAAAGCAGCCCTGCCCTGGTTTGCTTCTTTCCTGGAACATTCTAGGGAGCAAAAGCAGAGCACTGACTAGGCTTTCTCCTGTGGCTTCTTCCACCCTCAGTCCTTCTTTTGTGGCACTGTCCCAGCTTAATAAATGAGCTCTCAAAACCACCTGAACTTGTGTTTGTGAAATCTTTCCTGCATGAAATGAAGAACCCACACACTATAGGCTGTCCCGAGGCAGACCTGCTCTGGGCCCGAGGCCCCGTCCGGTAACACTTCCATTTCTAAATTTTTATATACTTTTAAGTGAAAGGATTACACATGATTTAACTTTTTTTTAAATATGTTTTTATTGACTTCCGAGAGAGAGAGAGAGAGAGAGAGAGAGAGAGAGAGAGAGAGAGAGAGAAATATCAATCATTGACTGGCTTCCTCTTGCATGCCCCACATTGGGGATCAGGCCTGCAACCTGGGCATGTGTCCTGACCAGAAATCGAACAGTGACCTCCTGGTTCATAGGTTGGTGCTCAACCACTGAGCCATGCTGGCCGGGCTGATTTACTTTTTAAAAAGTATTTTCCTCGCCGAAACAGGTTTGGCTCAATGGATAGAGCATCGGCTTGGGGACTGAAAGATCCTGGGTTCGATTCCGGTCAAGGGCATGTACCTTGGTTGTGGGCATATCCCCGGTAGGGGGTGTGCAGGAGGCAGCTGATCAGTGACTCTCATCGATGTTTCTAACTCTCTATCTCTCTCCCTTCCTCTCTGTACAAAATCAATAAAATATATTTAAAAAAAAAAGTATTTTCCTGCCCTACCTGGTTTGGCTCAATGGACAGAGCATCAACCTGGTGGATGAAGGGTCGCAGGTTCCATTCCAGTCAAGGGCACATGCCCGGGTCGTGGGCTTGATCCCCATAGGGGGCATGCAGGAGGCAGCTGATCAATGATGTTTCTCTCTCTCCTCTTCCTTTTTCTCTAAAATCAGTAAAAATATGTTTTGTTTTGTTTTTTAAAAGGGATTTCCCTATTATTTTAAACTTTAAAAAAAATATCTTGACCATTTTTTAAAAATCCAACCCTAATCTACAGAAATAAAAGTACTGTATGCAGTCAGCAAGTTTTTCAACTTTGCATTTCTTAGAAGTTTTCCATGTTAAAAAATTATTTTTTTTATTACTCTGTGGTGTTGTAAAGATATACCCTGTTTCCCTGAAAATAAGACAGTGTCTTATATTAATTTTTACTCCCAAAGATGCGCTATGTCTTATTTTCAGGGGATGTCTTATTTTTCCATGAAGAAGAATACAGTACACATTTATTGTTAAATGAAAATAAAGGAAATTTATTACCTGTATACGGTACGGTAGTATGGTAGTTGTCAACACAAACCAGACAAACTGAATCCTACAGTATCAAGAATTTACTCATTTATTCAATGACAATCATGTCATCATCTTCTGGAACATCATCATAACAATCCAATTCCTGAATTTCCTGGTGAATTTCTTGTGACTCCATTTCTTTCAGAATCAGTGGAGCAAATCTCTCATGTTTAGCCTGGGGGGGGGCTTATTTTCGGGGGATACTTTATATTTCATTCAGAAGGAAACCTGTAGGTAGGTCTTATTTTCGGAGGATATCTTATTTTCAGGGAAACACGGTAGCATAGATTCCCTAGCCAGTGTTGCTTAGTGGATAGAGTGTTCGGCCTGTGGATCAAAGGGTCCCAGGTTTGGTTCTGATCAAGGGTACATACCTTGTTTGGAAGCTCCTACCTGGCCTGGGCTCTGGTCAGAGTACTAATTAGAACTAATCTACGGATGTTCATTTAGGTTACTAAAATGAACATCCTTATACAGCAGGTCCTCGGGTTACATCAGAGATCTGTTCCTACAGTGCTGGCGTTATGTAACGCGATTTTTGCCATAAGCACCTACATCACTCACGTGGAGCACATACACAGCAGTAATGAAGTGGAACAGTAAAAAAAATTAAAAGAACGGTAACAATTTCTGACTTTTACTTGTGGTAAATCCTCTCTAATAAAAGAGAAACATGCTGCCCTAACCGGTTTGGCTCAGTGGTTAGAGCAATTGGCCTGCAGACTGAAGGGTCCCAGGTTTGATTCCAGTCAGGGGCATGTACCTTGGTTGCAGGCACATCCCCAGTAGGAGGTGTGCAGGAGGCAGCTGATTCATGTTTCTCTCCCATCAATGTTTTTAACTCTCTATTCCTCTCCCTTCCTCTCGGTGAAAAATCAATAAAATATATTTAAAAAGAGCCCAGTGATACCAACAACAAGCAAGGCTTAACAACAAGACTGCACACACAGCCCATAAAGGACTACACTAAGTCTGTCCACCTCAGGTAACTGGGAGGCTGAACCATATAGGACACCTTAGCACACAAAGCCACCCTACCAACTCAGGGAAGCTGTGAAAATGCCAAAACAAGGAAACAGTTCACAAACAAAAGAAATGGAGGAAAAGAAGTGACTGGATATAGAGTTCAAAACCATGCTTATAAGGTTCTTCAAGAATTTCCTAGAAAAGGTCAATAAGACCTATGAGGATATGAAAAGGGATCAACTAGAAATAATAAGAGATCAACAAGAAATAATAAGGGATCAACAAGAAATAATGAGGGATCAACAAGAAATAAAGAATACATTGTCTGAAATAAAAAAGATTATACAGAGTCCTAAAAACAGAATGGAAGATCACAAGAATCAAGTCAAAGATTTGGAACATAAAGAGCCAGAAGACACTCCTCCGCAGAAGCAAGAAGACAAGAGAATCCAGAAAGTTGAAGATAATGTAAGAAACCTCTGGGACAACTTCAAACAAACCAACATCAGAATTATGGGGGTGTAAGAAGAGAGAGAGCAAGATATTGAAAATATACTGAAAGAAATAGTGACAGAAAACTTCCCTCACCTGGTGAAAAAATTAGACTTACAAGTCCAGGAAGCACACAGAACTCCAAACAAAAGGAATCCAAAGAAGACCACACCAAGACAAATCATAATTAAAATTCCAAGAGCAAAAGACAAAGAGAGAATATTAAAAGCAGCAAGAGAAAAGCAGGTAGTTACCTATAAAGGAGCACCCATACGATTGTCAGCTGATTTCTCAACAGAAACCATGCAGGCCAGACTGGAATGGCAAAAAATATTCAAGGTGATGAATAGCAAGAACCTACAGCCCAAAATAATCTGCCCAGCAAAGCTATCACTCAGAATTGAAGGCCAGATAAAGAGCTTCACAAATAAAAAAAAGCTAAAGGAGTTCATCACCGCCAAACTAGAATTATATGAATTGTTGAAGGGGGTTCTTTTGGAAGAGAAAGTAAATAAAGATAAAAACTATGAACAACAAATACATAACTATCAACAAGTGAATCTAAAAACCAAGGGAATTAAAAAAAAATCTGATGAACAATATTAACTGTTGAATATAATAGAATCAGAGGTATGCAAGGGGAGTGAACTGACGATTCTCGGGGAAAACGGGAGAGGGGGGTGTGGAAAGAGACTGAACATAAACTGTGCACCTATGGATGAGGACAATGGGAGGTGGGGAAAGGGCAGAAGGTGGGGTGGGAACCTGGTGGAGGGGAGTAATGGAGAAGGGGGGGAAATGAGGAACATTTGTAATAATATGAACAATAAAGATTTTTTAAAATATATTTTATTGATTTTGTACAGAGAGGAAGGGAGAGAGATAGAGAGTTAGAAACATCGATGAGAGAGAGTCATCGATCAGCTGCCTCTTGCACACCCCCTACTGGGGATATGCCCGCAACCAAGGTACATGCCCTTGACCAGAATCGAACCTGGGACCCTTCAGTCCCCAAACCGACGCTCTATCCATTGAGCCAAACTGGTCTCAGCTGAACAATAAAGATTTATTAAAAAAAAAAAAAGACATTTGCCTTTGAAATAAAATATAAATATTATATATATATATATATATATATATATATATATATATATATATATATTTTTTTTTTTTTTAAAGAAAAAAAGAGAGAAACATGCAAATTGTCTGTACCTTTGCTACACCTACAAGCCACACCCACCAGCCAATCAGGGCAAGCATGCAAATTAACCCAACAAATATGGCGGTTAATTTGCATATCCAGGCCAGAGTGAAGATTGAAGATAGCATAGAAAGAAGCCAAGCCCTCCTTAAGGGAGCAAAGCTGTGGTGCAGCAAGCAAGTGGGACAGCGGAGAAGGCAGGGAAGCAGGCGGGGCTGGGAGAAGGGAGAGAAGCAGGTGGGGCAGCGGAGACTGCAGCAGGAAGCCCTATTGCAGGAATCTTCTTGCGAGGGGCAACTAGTAAATTATAAAAAAGCATAAAGCACATATGTACACACATCAAAACAATGGTACTTTTTTTTATATAAATAAATGAAAGATGGCAACATAACCACAAAACAACATACATCAAGTCTGATGTAACCGGAATACTGCCTGTAAATGCTTTCTGGTTATTTATATCATTGTGACACCTTTTGATATAAGCTCACATAGATCTATCTTATTTTTAAAAAGCCCATACAGATTTTTATTCATTTTAGAGATGGGAGGGAGAGGGAAACATCGACTTGCTGTTCCACTTATCCATGCATTCATTGTATGTGCCCTGACCCAGAATCAAACCTGCAACCCTCGCATATAGGGACAATGCTCCATCCAACTGAGCTACCCAGCCAAGGCAGGTCTATCTTCTTTTTAACAGCCACTGAGAATTCCAGTCCAAGGATATAATATGCGCTGTGCAACCTATCCCTTGCTGATGGATATGAGGTTGTTTCCAATTTTTCATCCTAGTGGACTTCTTTGACCAATACAGATTTTTTAAAGCTAATATCTGAATTTAGCACCTGCAGACCATCAGTAGACCAATGGACCCCAAAAAACTCCATTTGATGGGCTTTCCTGGCAGGGCCCAATTGCTGTAAAATGGCCAGAGGATGAGCTTGCATCAAAGAGGACAAAAAAGCAGTGAGGAGAGTCTTAAAGTTTGCTGTCTGTCACGTTAAAATATTGTTTTTATTACTTAGAGAACTTGCTGGAAGCTCTAGTTCCTAATAGGAGGGTGTCTATCACCTCTACTGGTGCCTCAGCCCTGGGCTCTGGTTTTCCTTTGATAACCCCTTCTCAACACCATCCCTGGATGCATTCTTAGCAGGGTCATTAGTTCCATGTTTTCCTTTCCCTAACCAAAAGGTGGGCCTAGAACCTAAACCAAGATAGTGAGATTTAATCCTTGACCTTGGGATAGAGGCCCTTCCTCAGTGCTGTGTTGCTTAGCTATCCAGATGTGCATCTAGTGTTGCAGAGAAATTCTGCCTCAGAGAGAAGCCGGTTTTCTAGAAACCTAGTCTGAACTCTTGGATCCAGCCCTATTGAGTCGGTTATATGAGCCAGTAAATTTCATTTTATATTTCAGTCAGTGCCAGTTGGGTTTCTGCCATTTCCATTGGAAGAGCCCTTGTTCATTCACCTTTGTCTCAGAAGAAAACAAATTGACTCATGCAAACAGTGTTTATTGAATATCTATGCTTAACCCAGTGCTGGGCGATGCTGGGGATAATAAATGGCTATGACAGAACATGTCCCTCCCCTCAGAGCAATCCTAGTCTACCAGAGCTTCAATAGTCTATCACAACCCACTCAGTAATAAAGGCCATATCCCCCATGAAGGGGTGGTGAGATCTAAGGATAGGAATTTAAGTTGCCACTGATAGATGGCCAGGAATCAACCAAATGAAATGAGGTTAAGGACTAAGGGCCCATGCATGCATGCCCAGGGGTGTTCAGAATCCTAGCAGAACTCAGAAACCTGGTAAAAGATCTTGGGAGGAGGAGGGAAGGTGAAGAGCTGGAAAGGGAAAGGTGAGGCAGCCAGCCAAGCTTCAGCTGAAGGAAGCAGGAGCAGGTGGAGAAGGTGGCCAAGATGTGCACATGGCCATCCCTTCTCGTTCCTCACAATGTGGTATAGAAATACATGGCTATCAGCATCACAGGGAGCTGGAGGAGAAGGCAGTCGAGTTAGGGGTGCTCCAGCCCCACACCCACATCCCACCCAACCAATAGGCTCCCTGCCTCTCACCGTCCACATCAGGATGGCAAACCCAAACCACGAGATTCCCCACGTGTAGCTGTCGATGGCATGGCCAATGTGTTCGAAGCAGCCCTGGGCAGGGGGAAAATGAGGGTTTGAGTAAATTCTCTCAGGAGGTTGGCTGCTGAAAGCAAGGGTCACTGTATGTCCTCAGGAAAGTCACTTCCTTCCTTGAGCCTTGGTTTTTTACTTGTGCAATGGGGATTATGGCAGTGTCTACCTCCCAGCGTGGATTCAGGGCGCAGGAATGTGACCTTGAGTCCGGGACCTGTAAAAGTAGGTGCTAAAATTATGGCATCTGAGGGCGATGTTATTTAGAGCAGGATTTCCCTGCTGCCCACAGGTGCCAAGGGTTGGAAATGTGCCTTTAGGATCAGCCCACTTTTGACATCTCCTCATGGGGATGCATGTAAGCACTCTGCCCAGAGTCTGGGCTGGAAGCATGGCTGTCTGATTCTGCGAGTGGTGATGGTTTGCACATCTGCTCTAAGATATGCTGCTGAAGGGCCCCAGGCAGCCAAGAGCAACCAAAGGAACACTGGGTCCAGTTCTCCTAATCTAATCTCTTCTGGTTTCTTTTTCTGACTCTGCACTCCCCTCACAATAGTTAAAGCATCTGGTTGGGGCCTAACTGCCTGAAATCAAACCCCAGCTCCATCCTTCACTAGCGAGTGACCCCTCAGTTTCATCATCTGTAAAGTGAGATAATTATAATTTTAACCTCAGGCTGTGGTGAGAAATAAGATAAAAACTTAGAAGGATGCCTCATACAAAATATAAGCTCAATAAATGTGGGTTGATATTGGTGTTGTGCTCCTGCTATTATTATTGTTGCTCATATTCCCAGCAACCTGAGAAAAATTGCAGGTGCCAGGTCTAAACCAGATAGATCTTGTGTGCATCCCGATAACTTTGAGAGAGAAAGAGAGAGAGAGAGAGAGAGAGAGAGAGAGAGAGAGAGAGAGAGAGAGAGAGAGAGAAAGCCAGAGAGGGGAGAAGGAAATAATAGACAGTAAAAAGGGGGAAGAGATAGAAGAATCAGAGAGGCCAGAGAGACTACAGCAGGAGGGAGGGGACATACCTTGGTGAACAGGTAGTCCATGTGGCCCAGGCGGCAGCCTTCTTCATTGAGGGGAATGAAGTTACCAGTCCGCCGACAGCACAGTGGGGGCCAGGGAAACACCACCTCTGGGGTGGCCTCCCGGAAGGTTGATGTAAAATTCACCCAGTCCATGGGACCAGATGTGCCACAGCACTCTTGCTGGAGAGAAAAGCAAGGAGTCTGGCTCCAGCTCAGAGCAGACCACTGCTTACCTGAGATCAGACAGTGAGAAAGGGCAAGGTTGTTCTGTGCCCCTGCTGGGCCCAACTTACCCATGTCCTGGGCCTCAAGGAGGAGGGCAGTGTCTGTGTATGTGAGCGATAACCAGAAGACATTTGTTCCAGAACCAATAGGCTGATGGGGGATTTGGATCAAGCCCACAGTCATGATTTATTTAAAAACTAGAGGCCCAGTGCATGAAATTTGTGCACTGGAGGGAGGGGGGTCCTCAGCCCAACCTGTGCCTTCTCACAGTCTGGACCCCTTCGGGGATGTCCGCCTGCTGGCTTAGGCCCAACCCCTAAGCCGGCAGTCAGACATCCCTCTTGCAGTATGGGGCTCTCGCAGTCCAGGACCCCTTGCTTCTTACCTCTGGCCTGCAGCAGAGGTGGGAGAAGCTTCTGCCACCACCACTGCACTCACCAGCCATGAGCCTGGCTTCTGACTGAGTGCACTGACCACCAGGGGGCAGCTCCTGTGTTGAGCATCTGCCCCCTGGTGGTCAGTGGGTGTCATAGTGACTGGTCTGTCTGCTGTTCAGTCGATTTGCATATTAGGGTTTTATTGTATAGGATTCTTTTGAGTTCACAGTCAACAAAACCTGAGCTAAATGACAACAAAGTTGGATTCTGTGTTGTTTTTTTCTAGTCCCTATGGGTGTTTATCTTGTGGTCCCTGAAAGATGAAAATATAGGCCCTTTCATACATGGTTCCAATCCTGGCTAGCTATATGACTTAAGCTAAGCTGGGATCTCAATTTTTCTTGAATACTTAGTATTCTTCAATGTGCTGCCATGTCAGGTTGGGTTTAGCTAAGAATGTGGCTTCTGGAATGCAGCAACCTTGGTTTGAATCCTTCTGGTTCTGTGACCTACCAGTTGTGTGACCTTGTTCAAGCTCCTCAACCTCTTGCCTCGGTTTCCTCATCACTAAAAAGCTGATCTTCCTTTGCAGGTATGAGAATTAAATAAACTTTCAAAGTGCATTGAACAGTGCTAAATAGAAGTTAGTGCTCATTAAATGTTTGCTGTTAATATAATATATGCCATGATTAAGAGCAGGGATTCTGGATTTAGGCTGCCGGGTTTGGATTCCAGCTCAGTCACTTACACTGGGCAAGTGACTTTCCCTGTTTTGGGGCCAGTTTAGTCAACTGAAAAGTGACAATAACTGAATGCTTCCCTCCTAAGAACCAAATAAGTGTATATTATATACCCTGGGCATAATGGGAGCCCTATTTGCCTCTGTAGTCAGAGCTTCAGGTCCTCCAGGCCTCCCTGCCATCATTGCCCATCCTCGCTCACCTCAATCATGATACGGTCCCAGAGGCGAGTCAGTTCTTGGCCCTGGTCTGTGTCTGCACTGTAGAATGTCAGCATCTGCTTGGTAATCAGGGATGGATTGGACACCATCTGTGGAGGGCCAGGAAGAGTAGGGTCCAGTGGGATTGAGTGGGAAGAAAAGTCTACCTCCACCCTTAGCCTGAGACCCTCAACACACTCCCCCTGGAAGTCATGCCCCTCCCCTGGCCTCTGCCCGGCTCACATAGTCTCGGTGGGTGTAGGATGTGATACAGGAGGCGCACTCGAAGATGTAGACGATGAGCATGAGCACCAGGTACTGGGGAGAGATAGAGACAGGAACAAACAAACAGCCCAGTCAGAGCAAAACCTGTGGAATGACACCTCAAGGAAAATGAAAAATTCTTAAAAATGTATAGAACAATGTGAATGGTAGCATCTATGTGATAGATATACAGGTGATCGCTGTACAAGTCTTTCTCCTTTTTTGTACGTTTGAAATTTTCCATAATAGAAATCCAACTTTGATGTCAAGTATGTTAACAAATATGCTTGGATACCATAAAATAAATGTCTACTCTAGAAAGGAAAGAGAGAGAGAGAGTAAGGAGTAGGAGGAGAGAGAGAGAGAGAGAGAGAGAGAGAGAGAGAGAGAGAGAGACTTTCTTGAGGTAACCAGGGACATTTGAACACAGACTGAGTATTGGAAGATAGATTTGAAGGAACTAGGGTGAATTTTGCAGGTGTGCCAGCAGAATGAAGGTTGCACACAAAAAAATTATTTACTGGTATATAATGTAAATGGTATTCCTTTCCTCACCTCTTCCCTTCACCCTTAAATCAACAGGGTGTGGGGCGTGGATTTGCTAACTCTACTGCTGAGAGATGAGATGCTGTGGCATTAACTTGCCTGACTGCTTTAAAACAATGTCCTTATCACTCAGAGAAATGTGCACTCAAGTATTTGTAATGACTTGGTGTCTGGAATGTGCTTCAAAATACCCCAGGAAATAAAAATGTGGGCAGGCAGAAAGTGGAGCAGAGGAGACAAACTTGGCCGTCTGTGACTGACTGTGTTGAAATCAGGTGACAGGTACACAGGGTTCATCAGGCCATTCTCTCTACTCTCCTCTATGTTTCAAATTTCCCATAATGTATGTGTTTTGTTTTTTAACTTCTATGTCTTATTTAATGACAAACTAATAGACAGACACAAACTTTTTTTCACTAGTTGGGTGAACTTTCAGGGCTTTGGTTAAATTGTATGCCAGAGAATTAAATGCAGGAAAGAGATTTTAAAAGAAGGGAAACAGGAAAGAAAAGAAAAAGAGCCTTTCAGTGGCCCCATTTCATGGTGAAGCCGAAGTCTTTACCAAGGCCCATAAGGCCCACCTTCCCTTTCTTCCCTCATCCTCCATGCCATCGCCCACTATTCTCTCCCCCACCTCATCTGCCCTCACCTCGGCTCCTCTCTCAACCCACCCCCACTTGGCTCCAGCCACGCTGGCCTCTGGCCTTCTCTGGCTTCAGAGCCTTTGCTTTTGATGTTCCTTCAACCTGGAATGTTCTTCCTGCAGATACACACACAGCTCATTCTTCCCTCCCCAGGCCTTTACTTCCTCAGGCTGCCTTCTGCAGTTTCAGCTCACCCTTCCCTAGTCACTGTCTTCTTCTCGGAGCGTTCTCTCTATGACACAGGCTTTAGGTTCTGCTCACTAGATAGCTCCAATGCCTAACATAGGGTTTGGCACATGGTTCTTGCTCAATTAGCATTTGTTGATAGAATAAGTAGGTGCTCCTAAGAATTTAAAGGGCCTTAACTGTAAAGGAAGCACGGTGTTGGAAACTGAGCCTCAGTTTCCTTATCTAGTAACTTCAAAGGGTGACTGGGAGTATTGAGAGAGTTCATTTTTTAAGTTGCTTAGCCTAGCATCAGGCACATGAGAGGCCCTTGGGGAGTGTGGAGACTGTTGATGTAATTATTATTATTATTTTTTTATGTAATTATTATTGGCAGAGACTGAGAGTACAGGCTCAAGTTTAAATCCTGGCTCTGTCACTCACTTGCTGTGTGACTTTGGATAAGTGACTTCACTTCTCTGAGCCTCAATTTCAACTGTCAAGTGGGCTTATGATGATGATGATGATGATGGTGATGGTGATGATGGTATCTCATATGGAGTTGTGAGGAATAAATGAATGAATCCATGTAAAGCATTTAGAAAGTAAAGAGCACTCATTAAATGCTGGTTGTGCTATTATTATTGTCATTATCAACAGCACCACTTATGAGCACAAACTATGGATATCAATTTACTGAGGTTCAAATCCCAGTCCTGCTACTCAAGAGTTGTCCTCCTGTGTAGAGAGCTTTATGCCCTTTCTCCCCTGTGTCCAAGTTTTCTTTTTGAAATCACGGTGACAGCCAAGCCTACGTTTTTGGGTTATGGGAAGGTGAAACAAAATGATTACCATGGCAAAGATGGACACACAATAGTGGCTGCAGTGGTGGTTGTTATTATGAATTTATGAGGATGATCTTTGTGCCTACATGTCCCCATTCCCTCCTCCTGGGGCCTCACCGTGAGGATCATGGACCGCCGGCGGCAGAGCGCTGCACCCACACCAAAGCTGGCCACAACGAAGAAGGAGAAGCCACAGAAGATGGCGATCCAGGCACCAGCGAAGACATCATCCTTGCCTGAGACACCCATTAGTGGGTACACACGGTACTGGTCAGCTGTCACCCATACTGTCTCAGCAAACAGGGCCAGGCCTGACAGCTAGAAAGAGGATAGAAAGACCAACTCAAGGACAACAGCCCCAGCTGTCTGAGTCTCCATGAGCAAGTCCTTTCCTCATTCTGAACCTCTACTGCCTGCTCAGTAAAGTGTGCATGTGATAAGAGAGGCAAAGACATAACCTTTCATGGATAGGGATGGGGCTAGGCTGAGGCCAGAAAGGAAGGAGGCCCAGTCAGAAGTGTCCCTCTCCCCTTACTGCCTGTTGCTTTAAGGGCAAAAAAAGATGCCACATGCAGGCCTAGAGGAGATGCTTGGCCAACCTGCACTTCCTTACTAGTATTATTCTCTGAATAGGGGAATCTGACCATTCCCAGAACAATTACAAATATACCAACTCTTAGGTTCAGCAATTCCACCTGCAGAAATCAACCCCCCACACATGTGCCCATGCAGGAAAATCACAAACCACCTGCAGGTAAAGGAACCAGGATGCCACACAATGGAGTATTATGCAGTTCTGGAAAAGGACAGAGGGGCTCTCTTGAGGACTCCTGTGGAGTGGCCTATAGGCTATGTGAGCAAGAGAAGATGGGAGGCATGAAAAAGGATATGGATTGAGTGACATTTGGGGCAAAAGGAGGAAATAGGTGCATACACTGAGTGGCCAGATTATTATGATCTCTGAACACATAATAATCTGGCCACTTACCCTAATCGGTTTGGCTCAGTGGATAGAGTGCTGGCCTGCAGACTGAACGGTCCCAGGTTCAATTCTGGTCAAGGACATGTACCTTGGTTGTGGGCACATCGCCAGTAGGGAGTGTGCAGAAGGCAGCTGATTGATGTTTCTAACTCTCTATCCCTCTCTCTTCTTCCCTGTAAAAAGTCAATAAAATATAGTTTTAAAAAATAATCTGGCTATTCAGTGTATATCCTATATAATAAAAGGCTAATATGCAAATTGTCCCCTCGACCAGGAGTTCGACCAACAGGTAGGGCAGCCAACCACCCATTACCCCTCCCCCTGGCCAGGCTGGCCGGGCCACACCTATGCATGAATTCATGCACCAGGCCTCTAATATATACATACTGAGTAACCAGATTATTATGCATTCAGAGGTCATAATAATCTGGCCACTCAGTGTATGCTCCTATGCTTGCATTTTTTACATGTTGGAAAAACTAAACATCTAGTTACCTGCAGAATAAGGAATGGGGAACAAAAGAGAGGAAATTTCTTGGTGGATTTGTTTGATGATAATCAAACTAACACTCCTAGAGCACTTCCTGTGTGCCAGGCATTGGACCTCGTAATTGGTTTCTGTGTGATGATTATTATTGTTACTAACTGTAATGTACATTGTTGTTATGACTAATACAAAGAGTAACGACATGGCCCAAACTGGTCTAAGTACATTAATCCATTTTATCCTCTCAGCATTACTATTTTATCTCCATCTTACAGCTAAGAAAATTGAGGCTCAGAGAGGTGACCCCTGGCCCCACAATAGAAAATGGCAGTGCTGGGATTTGAACCCAGGCTGCTTGGTCCAGAGCCATGTACAGGCATCACATATTTTTCAAAAAAACATTAAATGCTAAGGAAAAGACATTGTTATTATTTTATCATGGGCTTCCTGTGTGCCAATCAGGCACTTTATATCTGTAATCATATTAATGTTGATAGCGAGCATTTCTTTTTTAAATATATATTTTTATTGATTTCAGAGAGAAAGGGAGAGGGAGGAAGAGGGAGAAACATCAATGATGAGAGAATCATTTATCTGCTGCCTCCTACACGTCCCCCACTGGAGATCAAGCCTGCAACTCGGTGATGTGTCCTTGACTGGAATTGAACCTGGGACCCTTTAGTCCACAGGCCAATGCTCTATCCACTGAGCAAAACTGGCTAGGGCGATAGTTAGTACTTCTTAATCACTTTTTCTGAGCTGAAGGTCATACATGGATTATTCCACACAAATAACCCCATAATGAGGACATAATCTATAGTTGGGGAAACAGGCACAAAGAATTAAAGTCACTTGCTCAAGATCACACAGATGGAAGAGGCAGAGCTGATATTCGAATGCAGCCTGCTCTGACTTGAGAGCCTGCAGCACTGGCCTGCTGGGGAGTCTTGGGCCCTCAGCCTCCACCCTCAGGCTCAGGACTGCCCCTTTCTCCCCACCTCCCACTCAGCTCCCAGCTCTGGGGGATGTCTCACCAGAATAATGATGTTGCCCAGGACCAGCAGTCCCACCACAATCGGAGATCCCTTCTCCGCCTCTGCTCCTGCAGAAGCCATAGTTGTGCCTGGGACACATGAGCAGGGATGAGGCCAGGCAAAGGTCAAGAGAGGAGAGAAGGTCCAGCTGGAACTACTGCCCCCCAACTGCCATGGGCTGCTCCTTGATATCTGCTGGGCCTAGGCTGGTAATGAGTGTGCGCAGCTTCCCAGAACCCTGGTTGATGGGCCATTTTACAAAAGAGGATAGTGAGGACCAAGCAGGGCACTCCCTGTCCAGAGCTCTCAGCACTGGCCCTCCTTGCGCCTCAGACCACCCGTTTCCTCTACCCGTCCAGACCCCCAGAGTCTCCTCCTCACCTTCTCTGCCTGCAGTTCCTCTGGCCAGCCCCTCCCACAGTGGCTCCCTATATATGCCCAGGCCCCTCCTTAGGAAAGGAGGAGAGTGTCTGAAAAAAGGGACGAGAGGTCAAGCAGGCAGACCAGCATGAGAGAACAGCTTTATGGGCCCCACCCGAGTGATTTATAGACCTGATATTCCAGATTGTGCTAGTATCTGGCCACATGGGCAGGGTGATGTGGTCCTGATAAGGCTGCTGTAGAAGGGGAGGGGGGAGTGAGTGAAACACCTGATATCTCTCCTTAAAACATAGGCCTTCCTGGGGCAGAAGAGAGATCCAAGTTGGACCAGTGTGTGAATCCTGAATCCCAGAACTGTCTCTTTTGCTGATGGTTATACCTTTCCAAGTTTAGGAACCCAGGGGGTACACCCAGCAGAGACTTGGCAGGTGAGGACAGGGCTAGACCAAGACAGGGAGGTGGGGAGGAGAGTAGGGGGCAGGTGGCTCAGAGGCTGATTGCATGGGCTGTGGGCTGAGGGGAGAAGATGGCAGGAGATGGGTGTGTAAGAGGAGTTTGAGATGAGCGTACAACAAGGGCAGAATAGAGGTATGCTAAAAAGGGGAGGGGCACACTGAGTGGGCTTGGTGGGAGCAGAATTGCTGGATCATGAATATGTATATGCCAGGTTGCTTTTCACAATGGCTGTCCCTAGTGCCCTCCATCCAAAAATTCATGAGGGTTCCTGTATCCTTCAATCACCTCCTACATTTGGCTTTTTGACAGAGTAATTCAGTGTAAAGTGATACCTGCCATTATTTCAATTCTCACTTATTACTAATGATTTTAAGCACCTTTTCATGCTTGTTAGCATTTTGAGTTTTTACTCCCATACACATTTTCATTTTTAACATATATGTATATATCCATCAACGAAGTATAGAATGGTTTTAGATGTTTTAATAAACTTTATGCATATAATTTGTACATATCCTCATGAAATGGATTTTTTTCACTTCAACATTATGCTTTTGAGATTTATTCATCACATCTGTGGCTCTAGCTCAGCTGTTTTTCTTTGCAAGAATACTTCATAGGTTAAACTTTCCTTTCCAAATGAATTCATTTTAGCAAAGATGTCATCAATGGCAGCACAGAGGTATGCAAACATAGCAACACTCTGAAACCCCACGTTTGAGCCAGCAGGTAAAAGGCAAGAAAGAACATTTCTGACTGAGGGCATGAGGAATATGTAAAGGCTGGAATCTCAGATGCTCCTTTGGGTCAGCTGAGCAAAGGAGGGTCTGAAATTCATGGGTAGGCATGGGAAATTCATGGGTAGGCTGAGTATTGTGCCCAAGAAAGGGAAACTTTGGAGCTAAGTACCCGTGTGAAGTGTGAGATGAGTAGGGAAGAGGAAAAAGGGGAAGGGAAAGAATGATCTGGGGAGACAAGTATGTGGTGTGTGGTGGTGAAGCAAAGAGGAAAGCACTGCCTGACTGGCATGGCTCAGTGGTTAAGCATTGACCCAGGATTCCTCCTCCAGCCGACCACAGGCACCAGGGATACGGGCTTCCCTCCCTCTGGTCAGCCATAGGCGCCCAGGCTGGCTGCAGACTCAGAGGATGGTGGGCAGATGGCTTTGCCTATGCTGCAGCTGCAAGTGCTGGCACCTGAGACTGCAGGGTGGGCAGCTTCTCTGACTCCCAGGCCACGGCCAGCCGCAGGTGCTGGTGCCCAGGACTGCGGGGTGGGTGGCTTCTCTGTGTACCAGCTGTAGCCACCTGCAGGTGCTGGTGCCTGACTTCTCCGACTCCCACAGGTCCATAACGGCTGGGGTGTGTTGCTGCTGCCATGTTTTCAGTTTAATTTGCATACTCACTCTGATTAGCTGTTGGGCATAGTGGAGTGATGGTAATTTGCATGTTTCTCTTTTATTAGTGTAGACTAGAGGCCCGATGCATGAAATTAGTGCAAGAATAGGCCTAGCAGCTGTGGCTGCCTGGATTCCTCCCTCGTACCCTCTATACTGCAGCAGCTCTGGCTTCATCCTAAAAGGGCATTGGTCTAATTAGCATATTATGCTTTTATTATTGTATTATAGATAAAGACAAGGTTCAGAACACCAGGAACAGCAGGCTACTATGGGGGGCAGGTAGGTAGGAGGAAAGCTCTGCTTGCAAATGTAGAAACTATCTTTGAAAGGACACACAAGAAACCAGTAATGTAGTCATCTCCTTGTGGCTAGAGGAGAAGGTGAGGGAGGACTGGTTTTCCTGATTTTTTTTTTTTTTGTGTGTGTGTGTGTGTGTGTGTGTGTGTGTGTGCCTTTGAAAGGGTTGAGGTGCGCTCTCTCAGGAGTGCACCCTCACTTTTCTTTCCCCACAGGCACACATCTCCTAAACTCTTAGAGTCCCCACAAGATCTACAACCAGGGGAACAATGAACAGTGGTGTCTTGTACTGGACTAAACCCCTGGACCTGTCTCCAAGGCCCCTTTTTTAAAAATTTAAATTTAATTATGATTCTCTGACATATTACATGTGTCTCCTCTTTCCCCCATTGGCCTCTCCCCAGCTGCTATCCAAGGCCCCTTTTTTCAGGCTTCTCAGTGAGCCAAGCAGCCTCGCCCAGCCTCTCCTGGTGCTTCTCCCATCCTAAGCCTTCCTGGTTCCACTGACCCCAGCTTTAATAAATGTATTCTCAGTTTTAAAAAGGGGTTGAGAAATTGATGTTATCAAAATGGCTAAATGGGAACTTTTCTACCATATTCCCCTTAAAGAACATTGATTTTAAAAATCACCCATGGATGAGAAATCCAGGAGTCCAGCAGAGAAGTTCCAGCATACCACTGAAGGAAAAACATTGAGATTAAATGCATTGATGAGGAATACTGAGAGTTCTGTACACTTCGGGGAGCTGTGGGAATAGCAGCCAGGGATCTCAGAAACCATTAGAGAGACTCAGATCCTACTAACCATATCACACACATCAGGAAGATAGTGCATGCACCACTGGGAATGGAATGCCTTGCCTGTGGACTGGTCCATAGACACCCCCAGCACTGTGCATCTCACCGCACCTGCCCCCACCCCATGGCTGGCTCCCTGTGCACATTGCTGAGGGTGTGAGAGTGCGCCTTTGGAGATGGTTAATGAGCAGGTACAGAAAGTCAGCCAACTTTGCAGGATTGGGAGGAAGCATACAAACTTGAGCATTCAGCACAACACTAGGGAAAGCAAATGGGAGGCTGTCAGCATTTGCTCTGGCTTTGCAGAATTGAGAGAAGGCATTCAATCTTAAGAATTCCCCCTCCCTAAGAGGGAACTAGATATGTGGAGCAAGTATACATAGAAGGGTTCTGAGAAAGCCTTAGAATCCCTACTAGTGCTGATGAAAAGTATTTCTCACCCAAAGGCAGTCAGTAAGACTGGAGGAGACTGACTCTTCAAATGTGAAGGCAGCATTGCTAGAATCAAGTAATATGAAAAATAAGGAAACATACCACCACCAAAGGAACACAATACTTTTCTAATAACCAACCCCAAAGAAATGGAAATCTGTGATTTTTTTGAGGAAGAGATGTCATATGGGAAGTGACTTGGTTGTAAATGTTGGCTACTTTGTGCAGTTTGGCCATTTAGTTCCTGTTTCTTTGTACATTGTTTTTTGTTAAATAAAACAGGTGTGTTTTTCAAAAAAAAAAAAAAAAAAAAAAAGTTGCCGAAACCGGTTTGGCTCAGTGGATAGAGCATCCGCCTGTGGACTGAAAGGTCCCAGGTTGATTCTGGTCAAGGGCATGTACCTTGGTTGTGGGCACATCCCTACTAGGAGGTATGCAAGAGGCAGCTGATCGATGATTCTCTCATCGATGTTTCTAACTCTCTATCCCTTTCTCTTCCTCTCTATAAAAAAATCAATAATATATATATATATATTTAAAAAGAATACTACACTGCTATAAAAAAGAGAAAACTTAAAAAAAAAAAAAGTAAATTAAGCCTGTTTAAATAAATTATGACATCAAAAATATAAAATAGTCCTGGCTGGTTTGGCTCAGTGGATGATTCTCTCTCATCATTGATGTTTCTATCTCTCTCTCCCTCTCCCTTTCTCTCTGAAATCAATAAAAATATATTATATATAAATATAAATATAAATATAAATAAATATATATATATATATATATATATATATATATATATATATATATATATATAATAGGGAGAGTAAAATGGTAGAGTTTTTGTATGTAAAGTTAAGTTGTTAAGGCAACTTTACTGAATTTGTGAATTAGTTCTAACACTTTTTTAGCGGAGTCCTTAGGACTTCTTATACTCAAGATCATCATCTTCAAACAGAGACCATTTTACTTCTCCCAAAGACATAATCAGTCTTTGAATATAACTTCGCTGCTTCTGCAAAACAAAATAATTGACCAGGACAGGCATCAAACTATGAACCAGGAGGTTCACGATTCAATTCCCAGTCAGGATACATGCCTGGGTTGAGGGCTTGATATCCAGTAGGGGGCATGCAGGTGACAGCCGATAAATGATTCTCTGCCATCACTAATGTTTCTAAATCTCTCTCTCTCTCCCCCTTCCTCTCTCTGAAATCAATAAAAATAAGACATTCTTAAAAAAAAAAAAAGTATAAGCCACTGTGCAGAACAGTATAGAGTTTCCTCAAAAAACTAAAAATGGCCAGCACCGGTTTGGCTCAGTGGATAGAGCATTGGCCTGCAGACTGAAGGGTCCCAGGTTCGATTCCGGTCAAGGGCATGTATCTTGGTTGTGGGCACATCTCCAATAGGGGGTGTGCAAGAGGCAGCTGGTCGAAGATTCTCTCTCATCGACGTTTCTCACTCTCTATCCCTCTCTCTTCCTCTCTGTGAAAAATCAATAAAATATATTTTAAAAAAACAAAACAAAATAACACCTAAAAATGGAACTCGCATTTGACCCAGTGATTCCACTTCTAGAAATACTAGCGTATCCCAAGAAACTAGAAACACTAATCAGAAAGTATGTATGCACCCCTATGTTCATAACAGCTCAATTTACAAGGAGGACAAGGAGTGGATCCCTGTCACTAAGCTCAGCTGCCTGTGGTCAGTGTGCTCCCATAGGGGAGTGCCACTCAGCCAGAAGCCGGCTCACGACTGGCAAGCACGTGATTTGAAAACAGCCTAAGTGCCCATCAGCAGATGAGTGGATTAAAAAACTGTGGTACATCTACACAGGGAATACTGTGCTGAGGTAAAAAGGAAGGAACTCCTACCATTCACAATAGCATGGATGGGCCTAGAGAGCATTATGCTAAGTGAAATAAGCCAGTCAGAGAAAGAAAAGCACCACATGATCTCACTCATTTGTGTAATATAATGAACAACACAAACTGATGAACAAAAACAGATCCAGCCGGGACCGGTTTGGCTCAGCGGATAGAGCGTCGGCCTACAGACTGAGGGGTCCCAGGTTCGATTCCGGTCAGGGGCATGTACCTTGGTTGCGGGCACATCCCCAATGGGGGGCGTGCAGGAGGCAGCTGATCAATGTTTCTCTCTCATTGACGTTTCTGACTCTCTGTCCCTCTCAATTCCTTTGTGTAAAATCAATAAAATATATTAAATAAAAATAAAACAACAACAACAACAAAAAACAGATCCAGCGACAGAGAAGCATCAATCAGACCATCAAATCTCAGAGGAAAGGTAGGGAAGGTTGGGGGTAAGAGGGAGAGATCAAACAAAGGACTTGTATGCATGCATGTAAGCATAACCAATGGACACAGACACCAGGGGGGTGAGGGGATGGGTGTGGGGGAAGGGGTGTGGAGGGGAAGCAAAGGGAGGATAAGGACACACATGTAATCAATTAAGAAAAAAAAAATACAGGCAAGTGAGTCCTGGCCAGTCTGGAGCAGAAGCTGAACGAGTGTAGGGTGGAGGAGAGCAGGTATGTGGACCTCAAACTCACTGTGGAGATGAAGGATAACTTGAAAAGGCTAAGGTCACGCCATAGCACTGGGTGCCACTTGGAGAACATGGACACTGTTCCAAACTGTATCCCAGTCAACTCTGCAACACTCAAGAACAGCACTCAAGAACAGACCTCTTTGGCTCAGCTGCTTGGTTGGGCATTGTCCTGTGCACCATAAGGATGCTGGTTTAATTCCTAGTGAGGGCACATGCCTGGGGTAGGTTGTGTGCTCGATCCCTGATAGGGGGTATGCAGGAGGCAGGTGATTGATTTTTTTTTTTTAAGATAGACTCTATTTAATATATTTTATTGATTTTCTTTACAAAGAAGAAGGGAGAGGGACAGAGAGTTAGAAATATCGATCAGCTGCCTCTTGCACCACCCCACCCACTGGGGATGTGCCCGCAACCAAGGTACATGCCTTTTTTAAAATTTTTATTTATTTATTTATTTATTTATTTATTTTTTATAAGCCAGTTAAGTTTAGCAGTGGGGGGTTAGTGACACTAACTTTAGTTAAGTTCTGATAACCTACTACTGTCGGACCAGCCCAAGGTACATGCCTTTGACTAGAATCGAACCTGGGACCCTTCAGTCTGCAGGCTGACGTTCTATCCACTGAGTCAAACTGGTCAGGGCAGGTGATTGATGCTTTGCTTTCACACTGATGTTTCCCCCTTTCTCCCTCTCCTTCTCAATAAAAATAAATCTTCAAAAAAGAAAAATAACAAACCACTTTCTGTCACAGTCACAGGCAAAGGCACTGTCCTCCAGAAAGCCAAGGAATAGGAGAAGGAAGGAAAAGTTGGGAAACAAGTTTCATCTAAAGACTAAGAGTCTCCTGCCAACATGGGCCTGGAGACAGTCCTGTTTTGTTCAAGTCTTTGTTAAAGCAGCAACTCTGTGAGAGGGAAGGAAGGTCTCATCTCTGGTGAAAATAACACCTGGAGCTGAAGACATGCATTTCCTATGCAGCTTCCCACCTCCCACGTCTCCAGAGAAGAAATCAGGCAACTCAGTAAGGATGTTTCAGTTACATGTACCGGTAAGCTGGAGAGGGGGCTAAAGTGGGAGTGGGTGGAGACGGAACAATGTTCTCCAGCTCCCCACAGTGGTGTGTCACAAAATCAACTTCATGGGTGTGAAACAATGAAAAACACCAGGACATATTTCCTTAGAAAAGGCAACCATTGCTTCATGCAAGTTTGGTTCAGTTATGTGCTGTGCATGCGTGTAATGGAATGTGTGTTTCTGTGGGCTGCCATCAGAGAGTGGAAAGCTGCTCTTCTAGAGCATGCTTAGATTACAAGCTCCTTGTTAACAATAACAATAGATAATGATTAATAATAAATACCAACACTTACAAAATGTATTTATAAACACTTTTAGATGAGCCATCTCTAAAGCAGTGATCCTCAACCTTTCTAATGTGACCCACAGGTTGAGAACCGCTAGCAGGGTGGCCTAAGACCATTGGAAAACACAGATATTTACATTACGTTTCATAACAATAGCAAAATTAGTTATGAAGTAGCAACGAAAATAATTTTATGGTTGAGGGTCACCACAACATGAGGAACTGTATTAAAGGGTCAGGGCATTAGAGAGGTTGAGAACCACTGCTCTAGAGGAATGCATGGGAAACTGCTATTGGTGGCAGCATCTGGACAGAATTAGGCGATTGGGATCAGGGAAATCCTACATCTTGACTTTTCATTGGATGTCATATTTCATTTGAAATTTTCACCATGTTTCTATTATTTATTTTTTAATAATATGTTTTTTATTTCAGAGAGAGAGAGAAACATTGATGAGAATCATTTATCTGCTGCCTCCTGCACACCCCCTACTGGGGGTCAAGCCTGCAACCCAGACATATGCCCTGACTGGGAATTAAACCATGTCCTCCTGGTTCATAGATTGATACTCAACCACTGAGCCACACCAGCCAGGCTATCACCACCATGTTCCTTTTAAGTTCTTTGTTCTTTCCAAGGCATGTCAAAGCTCTACAGCAAGCATGTCCAACTCTTGGCCCACGGGCTGCATGCAGCCCACAATGAATATTTTTGTAGCCCAGCCAATATGTAAGAATCATTTTAATAAGAATTGCATAATTTTTACAAGATCCTGTTATACATAATGCATAATCTCTCTCTAGATATAAAGAGGTAATATGCAAATTAGCCAGGACACCATAACAGTCACAACCACTCAGAAGGAGGCTGTGTGCGCATTTGGACAGGAGGGGACTGCTGTGCAGTGAGCCAAGCCACAAATGGTGCAGACCTGCAGAGAGCAGAGTGGGGAGCAGGGCGGAGCAGGCACAGAGAAAGCGGGGAGCAGAGCCTGCCAGCTGGGGCATGCCAGCAGTCCCGCTTCTGTGCATGAGCTGCAGAGGAAACACCTTTTCTGACCGTTCATTGGTTAAGCTCCCCATACGCCACTCAGTGTTCTTGGTAACTTAAGTAATAAGAATCCAAGAAGGTTATCTGGGGTTTTTCCACCTCACTCCTGGAGGAAAAAACGAAGGTCCACTGCTGGAGGGCTAAGAAATGTCATATCCTACCCTAGCTGGTTTGGTTCAGTGGATAAAGCCGTGGCCTTCTGATAACAGGGGCCGGGTTTGATTCTAATCAAGTGTATGTACCTAGGTTGCAGGCTCCTCCCTGGCCGGGGCCCATTTCAGGGCTCATGCAGGAGGCAACCAATTGAAGTGTTCCTCTCACATTGATGTTTCTCTCTGTCTTTCCCTCTTCCACACTCTAAAAATCAATGGAAAAATATCCTCAGGTGAGGATGAAAAAAAGGAAAGAAAGGTCATATCCTATGAAAGAGACATCTTGGAGAAACCAAGATGGTGGCATAAGGTAAACACCTAAATGTAGCCTACCACAACAATTTTAAAATTACAACTGGGAAACAGAGTGGATATCATCCAGAACCACCAGAAAGCTGGCTGAGTGGAAGCTCTACCAACTAGAAAAAAAGAGAAAAGGACGCCAAGCCTCAGGAGCTGTGGAGGTGCGGAGATCTGTGAGAGCGGAAAGGAGAGACGGCTGAATACACTGCTGGCTTACTCGTGGCACGCAGAGAGGGTAGGCAGCTAACGTGCGGCTAGCTTTCTTGTTAAGGAGGAAAACAAAACCTCCTGATTGCACTGATATCCAGAAACTGGATTGTCAGGCAGCAGGCAAAACTCGAGAGCAACTTTCTCTCTGAGGTACACAAGGCCAGCAGTCATTGCCTCAGGACTCTGAGAACAAGGCCCTCTTAGGGCAAGGCTGATGGGAAACCAAAGCTTGTCTGCGCCATTCTGAGACTCTGCTCCATCCAAGCTGAGCACAGAAGCCCTCCTAGCGGAGACACTGCTGATCATCACAGCCATTTGGCTTGGCGATCAGCTCTCTCCAGTGATACCAACAACAAGCAAGGCTTAACTACAGCCCACAAAGGACTGCACCCAGAGGGTCCACCACAGGTAACTGGGGAGGCTGAGCTACTGAGCCCTGTTAGGACACCTAGCATACAAAGCCACTCCATCAACTCAGGGAAGCAGCTAAAATGCAGAGACAAAGAGGCAGGCCTCAATTGAGGACATGGGGGAAAGTAAAAGACTGGATATAGAGTTCAAAACCACAGTTATAAGGTTTTTCAATAATTTCCTATAAAAGGCCGATAAATTAAACGAGATCCTTGAGGATATGAAAAGGGATCAACTAGAAATTACGTACACACTGACTGAAATAAGAAATATTATACAGAGACCTAAAAGCAGACTAAAGGATCGCAAGAATCAAGTCAAAGATTTGGAATACCAAGAAGCAAAAAAACACTCCTCAGGAAAAGCAAAAAGCAAATAGAATACAAAAAGTTGAAGATAGTGTAAGAAGCCTTTGGAACAACTTCAAGCGAACCAACATCAGAATTATGGGGGTCCCAGAAGAAGAGAGTGTGCAAGATACTGAAAACCTATTTAAAGAAAGTGACAGAAAACTTCCCCCACCTGGTGAAAGAAATAGACTTACAAGTCCAGGAAGCGCACAGAACCCCAAACAAAAGGAATCCAAAGAGGACCACACCAAGACACACCATAATTAAAATGCCAAGAGCAAAAGACAAAGAGAGAATATTAAAAGCAGCAAGAGAAAAGCAGTTAGTTACCTATAAGGGAGCACCTGTATGATTGACAGCTGATTTCTCAACAAAAACTAGGGAGGCCAGATGGGAATAGCAAGAAATATTTAAAGTGATGAATAGCAAAAACCTACAACAAGATTACTCTACCCAGCAAAGCTATCATTCAGAATTGAAGGTCAGATAAAGAGCTTCACAAATAAAAAAAAGCTAAAGGAGTTCATCACCACCAAACCAGAATTATATGAAATGCTGAAAGGTATACTTTAAGAAGAGGAAGAAGAATATAAAGATAAAAATTATGAACAACAAATACTTAACTATCAACAAGTGAATCTAAAAACCAAGGGAATAAAAATCTGATGTACATTAATGGTGAATATAATAGAATCAGGGGTATAGAAAGGGAGTGGACTGACAATTCTCGGGGAAAAGGGGAGTGGGGGATATGGGAAGAGACTGAACAAAAATTGTACACATATGTGCCGAAACCAGTTTGGCTCAGTGGTAGAGCATTGGTCTGCGGACTGAAAGGTCCCAGGTTCGATTCCGGCCAAGGGCATGTACATTGGTTGCGGGCACATCCCTGGTGGGGGGTGTGCAGGAGGCAGTTGATCAATGTTTCTCATCAACGTTTCTAGCTCTCTATCTCTCTCCCTTCCTCTCTGTAATAAATAAATAAATAAATAAATAAATAAATAAATAAATAAATAAAATTGTACACATATGGATGAGGACAGTGGGGGAGGGGGGGTAAAGGCAGAGGGTGGGGTGGGAACCTGGTGGAGGGGAGCTATGGAGGGAAAAAAGAGGAACAATTGTAATAATCTGAACAATATTTATTAAATTTTTTTAAAAAAGGAAACATCTTGAAAATGCTTAAAAAAAAAAAAAGTAATTTTTAGCCCTATCTGGTTTGGCTCAGTGGATAGAGCATCGGCCTGCAAACTGAAAGGTCTCAGGTTTGATTCTGGTCAAGGGCACATGCCCAGTTTGTGGGCTGGATCCCCAGTGGGGGACTTGTAGGAGGTAGTCAATCGATGATTCATCATGGATTTTTTTTTTTTCTTCTTTTAAATATATTTCATTGATTTTTTACAGAGAGGGAGAGGGAGAGTTGAAAACATCGATGAGAGAGAAACATTAATTAGCTGCCTCTCCTGCACACTCCCTACTGGGGATGTGCCCGCAACCAAGGTCCCTTGGCCAGAATCGAACCTGGGACCCATGAGTCCACAGGCTGATGCTCTATCCACTGAGCCAATTTGGTTAGGGTTTATCATGGATATTTCTCTCTCTCTCTCCCCCTTCCTCTCTGAAATCAATAAAAACATATTTTTTTTAAAAAGTTGTCATTTTTTTGTGAAGAGACTAGAGTCCATGTTGATGAAAACACCTTGGTGGCTGTGATGGCCAGCAGTAGCAGAAGCTGTGCGATGATGGGGGTGACGCCTTCCCCTGATCAGCCTGGTCGCCTCCTGCCGAGGGAGGCCAGACTGTGGCTTAGGTCCGCTCTCTGAGGTCTTAAGCTATCAGTAGGACATCCCCCGAGGGCTCCCAGATTGGAGAGGGTGCAGGTGGGCCCCCCACCCCGTGCACAAATTTTATGCACCGGACCTCTACTTATTAATAAAGAACTACAACATTCGCTAATGACTGATTACTATAATTGTGTTGCATTCATTTCCCTTATGTGCCTTACGTGTAGGTTAGGGGTGTCAAACTCAATCAGAGAAGGGACCAAAATCTAAAATCCAGCCTAAATCGCAGGCCGAATGGTTTACTGAACAGTCATAAACTGTCATTGTGATGGTAACGCAGCGGAGTGCAGTGATGACAGCGCGGTGCGGGCCACATTGCAAGGCCTGGTGGGATGGATTTGGCCCGCGGGCCTTGTGTTTGACACATGTGGTGTAGGTGTACCATTTCTCTCCATTAATCCTAGCAGCGAAGATTTTAGCAGCCAAGATTGTCACATCATTAGTCGTGGACTGACTTATTTGGTGTGTGGAACAGAAAATATTTCACTTTCAGAGCACAAGGAAAACAGGTTTAGGGAGAGATCAACCAAAGGACTTGTATGCATGCATATAGGCCTAACCAATAGACAAAGACAACAGGGGGGTGAGGACATGAGTGGGGTAATAGTGGGATAAGGACACATATGTAACACCTTAATCAATAAATTTAAAAGAAGGTAACGTGAAATAAAAGAAAAAAGGTTTATTACACTTTTTAATTTGTGCAGTTATTCAGTGTCTGGGAAGTTAATTTTATTAAAATGTTCTATTATTTTATGTTGGTTACTCATTTATTTCAGCCCTTTGTATTCAACATACCTCTATTGAAATAAACCTACATTTCTATGAAAATTGGAGCTTGTTTTTTTGCAGCCCCCGTAAACTTAACCTTGTTTATTTGGCCCATGTTAGCCTTTGAGTTTGACATGCTTGCTCTACAGCCTCTAGAAGTCCCTATTCATGGGTAAGTGTCCTGTTTAAAGGAATCTCCTCCTCCTCATAGGAAGCCATTGCAGATCCCGCCCTAAGGCCATTTTTCTCAATACAAGAATCATCTGCCCTAACTGGTTTGGCTCAGTGAATAGAGTGTCAGCCTGCGGATTCAAGGGTCCCAGGTTCAATTCCAGTCAAGGGCACTGTATTTTCGTTTTGGGCACATATCCAGTAGGGAGAGTGCAAGAGGCAACTGATTGATGTTTCTCACTCTCTCTCCTTCTACTTTCCTCTCTCTCTAAAAAAAAAATCATCTTTCTGCATATCTGAATACCCTTCAGGTAAGTCTATTGCACAACCATTTGAGTGGCCTTAAAAAACACACACAACATAGTGTTTTTGTCCACAACATAGTGTGCTAGCTAATAATACTCTCTTAGGAGTTCCCTGTTGACAAGTTTAATGGATGGTATTTTGGGCTGTTTTTGTATGGCAATTCTTTTGAGGGCATTGAGAAATAACATTTCTTAATTCAGACCAATTAAATGACATTTAATCACCACAATCAACATGAAAGAGGAGGCCCAGAGCACAGAAATTTCACATTGTATAGAAGACTACTTATCAGATGACATTAAGTATTATGATTTTCTTAGCTGTAATAATAGTGTGATTATGTTAGATATATATACTTATTTCTAAATAAACTATGACCTCTAAGATTTACTTTAAAATTACCTAGTAGCTGAAACCGGTTTGGCTCAGTGGATAGAATGTCTGCCTGAGGACTGAAAGGTCCCAGGTTCGATTCCAGTCAAGGGCATGTACCTTGGTTGAGGGCACATCCCCAGCAGGGGGTGTGCAAGAGGCAGTTGATCAATGTTTCTCTCTAACTCTCTCTCTTCCTTTCTGTAAAAAAACCCCAATAAAATATATTAAAAATAACAATAATAAAATTATCTAGTAAAAAAAATAAAATTACCTATTAATTAAAGATGAAGCTGGTCATTTGTTTTTAACTGTTGAAGCTAGGTGAGGTACATATGTGTGTGTGTGTGTGTGTTTTAATACTTTTTATTTTTTTATTGATTTCAGAAAGAAAGAAACATCAATGCTTAAAGAGAATCATTGATCAGCTGTCTCCTGCAGGACCCACACTAGGGATCAAACCCACAAACTGGGCATATGCCCCGACTGGGAGTTGTCTGTGACCTACTGGTTCACTGGTCAACGCTCAACCACTGAGCCACACCAGCTGGGCACATAATAAAAACATACTATTTTCATTACCTAAGAAAAGTTTAAAAAATTATCTGACAATTAAGGGAACATACTAGTATACATAAACTTCAGCATATACATTGTGTAAGGCTATTTCATATAATCATTCATTCTATTGTCTGGCACAGAGAAGGTGGTCAAATTTTGATAAAACAAAAATTAAGCCGATAAAACAAAAATTAGCTCAGTGGATAGAGCGTTGTCCTGTAGACTGAAAGGTCCCAGGTTCGATTCCGGTCAAGGGCATGTACCTTGATTTCAGGCGCACCCCCAGTAGGGGGTGTGTAGGAGGCAGCCGATTGATGTTTCTTTCTCATCGATGTTTCTAACTCTCTATCCCTCTCCCTTCCTCTCTGTAAAAAATTAATTATATATATATATATATATATTTAAAATTAAAAACAAAACAAAATTAAAAAATACTCACTCTGAAGCCCCTCTTACTGGTCCAGGTACTATTTCCAACCAAGGGTCTTGCCCAGTAATCCAGCTCTTTACACATACACAGTCGAACATTTTTCCAACAAGTATTTATTATTAGTTTAGCCATGATTTAGGATTCTAGGGTGGGGTGTACCCAGGCCCCCCTTTCACCTCCCGGGGAGAAGGATAGAGAATGCCCAGTTCAGATCTTCCCAGGAAACGTGCCTTCTGCCCGGCGGTCATCCCAGGCCGAAACCTGTGGAAAGAAAGCCAGTGTTAGTTACTCCCTTCCTCTATGGGGAAACCACATGAGTGGATTTAATTTTTCTCACTTTGTCTACCTGTTCATTTCTTCAGTCAATCAACAATCCAATACCTACAGGAGCTGGAGAACCAGCAGTGACCAGAAAGATAAAAATTACTGGGCTGTTTGGCTGGCATGGCTCAGTGGTTGAGCACCAGGAGGTCACAGTTTGATTTCCGTTCAGAGCACATGCCCAGGCTGCACCACGAACCAGGAGGTCACAGTTTGATTTCCGTTCAGAGCACATGCCCAGGCTGCACCACGAACCAGGAGGTCACAGTTTGATTTCCGTTCAGAGCACATGCCCAGGCTGCAGCCTCCATCCCCAGAGTGAGGCATGCAGGAGGCAGCCAGGTAGTAATTCTATCTCATCACTGATGTTTCTCTCTCTCTCTTCGTTTCTGAAATCAATAAAAATATATTTAAAAAACAAAACAAAACAAAGAATCACAGTCTTGAACTGATAAAAGCTGAACCACTAAAGGAGTGGGGGGAGAAAAAATAACACAGGAAAATCCCCAACTTCCTGCAGGGCTGTTCATGAGGAGATATGTGAGGTTCGGAGCTTCAAGAGAGTGGCTATGCCCGCTTCAGGAAACCTAGTCAACACTCAGTGATGTGTGTCAGAATAGAGGAGAATACTAGGCAGCTGTGAAAACAGTAAGGCTGATCTATGCTCCAGCACAAATAGATCTCCAAGACATAGTCAAGTGCAAAAAGATGCCAAATGGAATAAAGAGTAAGAAATTACTGTTAATCACATATGTAGGCAAACAATTCAGTTCTCAACCAAGTTGTTCATAGATATAATTTTGAACAAAAACTTCAGTCCATGCTGATACGTCACCATGAAAAAGGCGTCTCTCAGGCCATAAACAAAGGAGAGAATGTGAATTAGTTTATCCCTAAAACTCACTGCTTGTTAACATCTCAGGAAATATACTGTGAATATATAATATTTTGCTTTTTAAATTTTTAAAATTTTTATTGATTTCAGAGAGGGAGAGGGAAAGATAGAAACATCAATGATGAGAATCATTGACTGGGGATGGAGCTCACAACCCAGGCATGTGCCCTAGACTGGAATCAAACCCGGGACCCTTCACTCAAAAGGCTGAAGCTCTATCCACTGAACCAAACTGGCTAGAGTGTGCTGTGAATATTTCTGTTTTTGCTTTTGTTGCTGCCAAAATGGACAATTAGCACCATTTAAAAACATAAAGATGCCATCAAGTGCTAATATTGTTCAATCTCCAGATAGGGCACATACAACAAGCAACCAATGAATGCATAAATAAGTGGAACAACAAATTGATCCCCCCCCCCCCATTCCCATATCTCTCTCCCACCCTCAAATCAATCAATAAAATTAGCTCTGGCCAGTGTGGCTCAGTTGGTTGAGTATAGACCCATGCATCAAAAGTTCACCAGTTCCATTCAATCAGGGCACATGACTGGGTTGCAGGCTCAATCTCTTGTAGGAGGCATGCAGGAGGCAGACAATCAATGTTTCTCTCTCTCTCTCTTACTCTAAAATCAATAAAAACATATGAAAACAAATTAATTAAAATAAAGAATTTTAGTTATCAGAGATAAAAGGACTGACTGCCTTAGTGTCCATATTTTTTAGATACACATTGAAGTAAGGAGGAGTGAAAGGACATGCTGGGATTCATTTCAAAATACTTCAGCAACAGGAAAAACGAAAAAGAAAAGGGATAGATGAAGAAAATGTGGGAAAATTGACATTATTCAATTTGGGTGATGGGTATATTTTGTGGTCACTGAATTATCCTACTTTTATGTATATTTGAAAATATTCACAATAAAAAAGGATAGGATGGCACAAATGGTGAGGCTCCACAGGGACAGGAAAACAGCACTGAGTATATATCTATAGAGTGAGTGAGCAAGATGGGTTTAGCAAGAAGACAGCTCTGGTCACCTTGGCTGAGAGCCCTGACTTATTGAATGTATCAGTGAAAGAAGAAAAAGAAGGCAATTATAGGAAGAAAAGGACAAATCCCATGACAGTGCGATGCCATGTCTTCCCTCCACCTCTTGCAGCTTACCTTCCACCAAGTCACCAAACTCCCCTCTCCTAAGACCCCTGTAACCCAAGGGCCCCAGCAGGAGTCACTTACCCAGGATACGGGGCACAGGGACTTGTACACACGCCGGTACCATTCACACACAGAGACATCACCCCCTTTCGCAGTCATTGCCTTCTCACAGCGGTGGAAGTCTGAAAAAAGGGGTTCGGGTTCAGCTCAGACAAAGGGCGAGGACACATTTTAAAAAAAATATATATTTTATTGATTTCTTACAGAGAGGAAGGGAGAGAGATAGAGAGCTAGAAACGATGGGAGAGAAACATTGACCAGCTGCCTCTTGCACACCCCCTACCGGGGATGTGCCCGCAACCAACGTACATGCCCTTGACCGGAATTGAACCTGGGACTTTTCAGTCCGCAGATCGATGCTCTACCGCTGAGCCAAACCGGTTTCGGCGAGGACACATTTTTAAAAAAATACTTTTATTGATTTCAGAGAGGGAGAGAGAAAGAGAGAGATAGAAACATCAATGATGAGAGAGAATCGTTGATCAGCTGCCTCCTGCACGTCCCCTACTAGGGATCAAGCCTCAATGTGGGCATATGCCTTTGTTGGAATTGAATCTGGGACCCTTCAGTCCGAAGGCCAATGTTCTATCCACTGAGCCAGACCAGCCAGAACTAGAACACATTTTTTAACAAAACTCTCAGAAATACCCTTTTACCAGTTACACACACACACACACACACACACACACAATTTTAGAAAGAATGTATAGCCTTACAAGTGGATTAAAAAGGGTTAGATATAACTCATTAAATTGACTCTGCAACCTTTAGAGAACTGCTATTTAACTGGAAATGTCTGAGGTCAGGCCCCATCAAGTTTCCCTCAGTAGGTAAGAGCATTGGCCCATGGACTGAAGGGTGCCAGGTTTGATTCCAGTCAAAGGCAGGCTCCCTAGCCTTGGTTGGGGCACATACAGGAGGCAACCAATCGACGTTTCTCCCTCTCTTGTCTTTCCCCCTCCCTTCCACTCTATAATTATCAATGGAAAAATATCCTTGGGTGAGGATCAACAATAAATGAATAAATGAATAAATAGGTTATTTGTTAAAAAAACAAAACCTAAAACTCTGAGGTCAGGCCTGATGGGCAATGAGGGGCATGTGTAGGGATAATGGAAACCCAGAACCAGGGCAAAGGAAGGGGAAGACAGTCTTGATACTAAAATGCTGGAGTCTGAGAACTGAGAGAGGAGGACAGGCATGGGATAATTTGGTTTTTAAAAGTAAGCAATTAGCCGAAACCGGTTTGGCTCAGTGGATAGAGCATCGGCCTGCGGACTGAAGGGTCCTGGGTTCGATTCTGGTCAGGGGCATGTACCTTGGTTATGGGCACATCCCCAGTAGGGGGTGTGCAAAAGGCAGTTGTTCGATGATTCTCATCGGTGTTTCTAGCTCTCTATCCCTCTCTTCCTCTCTGTAAAATATCAATAAAATATTTAAAAAATAAATAAAAATAAGCAATTAAGCCTGGCTGATATGGCTCAGTGGTTGAGCATCAACTCAATAACAAAGTGGTCACTGGTTTGATTCCCAATCAGAGCACATATCCAGGTTTTGGACTTGATCCCCAATGAGGGCATACAGGAGGCAGTCAATCAATGATTTTCTCTCATCAATGTTTCTATCTCTCTAAAAATCAATAAAAAGACTTTTTTTTTTTTTTAAGTAAGCAGTTAATTAGCCTAGGCCAGGTAACTGAGTTGGTTATTACAGTGTTCCGATATGCAAAGGTTGCAGGTTCGATCCCTGGTCAGAGCACATACAAGAATCAACCAATGAATGCTTAAATAAGTGGAACAATGAATTGATATATCTCTCTCTCTAATCAATGAAAAATAAATAAATAAATAAATAAATAAATAAATAAATAAATGTATGTAAGTAATTAATTAAAAAAAAAAACCCACAATCAATCCAGGTATTCCACTTCTGGGCACATTCCTTAAGAGAGAAAAGCATTTACATGGATATCAGATTACACCTCTAAGAATGTATATAGTAAAATTATTCCTAAGTGCTCCAACCTGGAAACCACACAAGTGACCATGAACAAAGTGTGGAAAACTTTATAGCAATGAAAATGAATAAACTACATGTCATAAGGCAGCCGAATCTTCAGAACTGTTGATTTAAAAAAATCCAACACATGCCCTAACCGGTTTGGCTCAGTAGATAGTGTTGACCTTTGAACTCAAGGGTCCCAGATTCGATTCAGGTCAAGGGCATGTACCTTGGTTGCGGGCACATACCCAGTGGGTAGTGTGCAGGAGGCAGCTGATCAATGTTACTCTCATCAATGTTTCTAACTCTATCCTTCTCCCTTCCTCTCTGTAAAAAGTCAATAAAATATATTTTAAAAAATCCAACACAAAAGAATGCAAACAGTATTTATAAAGTTCACAAAGAGGCAAACCTAAATGTGATGAGAAAACCAAAATATGATTGCCTTAAGTCAGTAGGGTTACATCTCTACTGGGGAGAACAGGGTGTTGTGCTCAATACAGGATGTGCAATAGGCAGGAGAGTTCAGAGTTCAGGCAACATCTACTTTTTTTTATCCAGGTTATAGTTATACAGGGGGTTCACTTTAGAATTATTCATTTAGCTGTCCATTATGTTTTCTGTACTTCCTGTATGTATGTTTGAAAATAGTGCATCCATTGGGTATTCCCCCAGGCCCACTCATTGTAGTAAAAATATTTTGTGCTATCTGCTACCATTTGATTGCTGACAAAGTCACTGATGCTAACATTCCTGAGGTTGTTGCCTCCATGCCTAACTGAAGCAAGTGCTACATAACACACACACACACACACACACACACACACACACACACACCTTATTTTTAAAATTGATTTGAAAGAGAGAGGGAGAGAGAGAAACATCAATTTGTTCCATTCGTTCATGCATTCATTTGTTGCTCCTTGTACGTGCCTGACCAAGGATCAAACCCACAACCTTGGCATATCAGGAAGATGCTCTAACCAATAGAGCAATCCAAGCCATGGACTTAAATAAATCTTTAAAAGAAGAAATCATAATAGGAACCATTGCACTGGCCCAGAACTTGAACACAGCTGATAAGGAGCCTCAGTCCTGTGAGGTAGGATGTCCATAAATAAAAAAAGGCCTGAGATTTGTGGGTCCCCAAGGAGTCAAGAGGTGAGCAACTTCAGGTGTGGGAACAGGGAACAGGGGAAGATCTGCATTCCCCAACCATCATGTCCTGCTTACCCAGGTAGTTCTGCCAACAGTTCCTGGTCTGGTTCTGGTTGGGAAAGCGGCTGTCAAAAGGAGCAGTCCGGTAGTTCTTGATTTTTGTCTTGATGTCTTCTGCCATGTTGCTGATTCTTAGAGGCAAAGAGAATGGATGATAGCAGGGGTTGTATGGGACCTGAACCTGACCATGTCAGCCCACCCAGGCCCAATGGGGCCCCAGATACAGAAGACGGGCTGGGTGTGAATAAGCCACTACCTCCTCCCTGTCAACATACACACACACAGATATAAGGGACAGAGCAAATCCATACTTTCTAAATGTATGAGACAGCAAGGTTTGGAGGGAGGGTCACTCCTTGGTAAAATTAGGCCTTATCTGTCACAAAATAACACTAGTGAACATGTTTTGAGCGCTTACTACAGGCCACGTGCTGTCCTACACGCCTACAGCTTTACTCCTGCAGCCAGCCTAATAAAAGGTAAGAACTATTACTTTCACTGTTTCTCAGATAAGTGTCTAAATGACTTCTCAAGGTCACACAGTATACAAATGGTGGAGCTGCACTCAATCATTAATATAATGTACAATGCAGAGATTTTTAATGTCTTTGGTGCCATGAATTCTTCAGAGGGGTCTAGTGATCCCTTTCTTAGCATGTGTTTAAGTGGATTAAAAAATTGCACACCCCTGACTGGTTTGGCTCAGTGGATAGAGCATCGATCTCCAGACTGAAGGGTCCCAGGTTCAATTCCAGTCAAGGGCACATGCCTGGGTTGTGGGCTTGATCCCCAGTAGGGGGCGTGCAGTTGACAGATGTTTCTCTCTCGTTGATGTTTCTAACTCTCTATCCCTCTCCCTTCCTCTCTGTAAAAAAAAAAAAAAAAAAAAAAAAAAATCAATAAAAAATATATATATATTTAAAAAGTACTACAGTTTTGAAGTAACCATGAGTAAAAGTATTTTATGCTATCTGCAACCATTTGATTGCTGACAAAATCACAGATGCTAATATTCCTGAGGTTGTTGCCTCCATGCCTAAGTGAAGAAAATGCTACATTTCAATTAAAGGTCAGTAAAAATGCAGATGTAACCCCCCCCATTGGAGTACTAGAATTCCTTGAATTCTATAGATTCTGTAGACACAGGGTTAAAAAAACCTCTGGTACAATGTCTCTTATGAGGTGACACAGTTTTCACCAGGGAACCTGAGTGAAACTGACTCTATTCAGAGATTTCGAGGAGTCCTGGGTTTACGCCGAGGTGAACAAGCCAGTATTAAATTGAAGCGATCCAAGATAGTGAGAGTGATCTGGGACAGTAAATTGGGAGGCCATCTTGACCCGCTATTTGGGTGAGGGTGGGTCCGGATGACACTGTGACCCCTCCAACACCCAAGGGGAGAGGAGGGGCCAGACACCAGGACTAGGCTGCGGCCCTGGCAAACTGCGGGGACCCACGCCTATGGCCCAAGGATTACGGGCACCGCAGTCCAAACCAAGATCCATATCATGGTCGCTGAGCCAAAAGAGACAATTACAGGCTTGGGGTGGGGGGTGGGGGTGAGAGAGACTAAATGAATTACTATGTCACTTGGAATGTCGCCCGGCATTAAGGGAGAACTAAATGTTAGCCATGACTACTAACACAGCAGAACCCCAGGCCCCGCAGGAGGCCGAACACCGCCGTCCGGAAACCTCACCTCGTTCTCGGGGAAGCTAGCGTCCGGTTCCTCAGTCCCCCAGGACGGGATGCCGGGCACCCGAACCCTCGGCACTCACCTAAAGACGCCCCTGAAGCTGCTCGCAGCTCAATGTGACCTCAGCAGAGACTCCTCCGCCTGACCGGAAGCGGAATTGAAACGGGCCGGAAGCCGGGCGGGATAAGTGATTCCCTCCCCCGGCTAGAGCGCCCTCGGAAAGACGGTCCCTGAGGCTAGTAAGACGACGCCCATTCATGAGAGCCCCAATCTTCTATTGGACTGATAGCTGTCCATCAACTCTGCAGGTCCAATCATGAACTTGCACCGACTGGTACAGGCTCTCCTCGCTTCCTTGGCTTTCCCCGGGGGAAGCAATTCTGTTTGGGTCCCGCTGCTGGCTGGAGAGTGGGCCTAGGGAAAAACCCAAGTGGAAGTACTCCTTTCGTGCAAGATTGTTTGTTGAGTGTCAGGTATTTTTGTAAGGGTTGGGGATGCATCCTTGAACAAAAGATGACCCATACCCTCTTTATGATTATTATAAGGTGACCAGATTTTAACAATGGTAAAGCGGGACACCATTGGCGGGGGGGAGGGGGGGGCGTTCTTGATTAAAAATTTGGTCTAGCGGAGATGGTTTGGCTCAATGGATAGAGCGTTGGCTTGGGGACTGAAGGGTCCCGGGTTCGATTCCGGTCAAGGGCATGTACCTTGGTTGCGGGCATATCCCCAGTAGGGAGTGTGCAAGAGGCAGCTGATCGATGACTTTCTCTCATGGATGTTTCTAACTCTAGCTCTCTCCCTTCTTCTGTACAAAATCAATAAAATATATATATTTTTTAATAAATAAAATTAAAAAAATAAAAATTTGGTCTATATGGAGCAACAAAAATTTTCATAGAATGCAAAAATAGTATTGTAATATAGTTTTAAAATTTCAACATAAGTACAATTTATAAATATAATAAATAAAAATTATGTATAGTATTTTATTCTTTGGCATATTTCTCATTTGAGTGAATTTTTTTCTGGAGATTGCTGTCGTTTAAAAGATGATATTTTTCACAAGAATTTGTTAAATTATATTTCACACATAAAATGGCTTTCAAAGTCTCAACACTTAATTGTGATTTTTCTGATGTTCACACTTTACTTACCGTAGAAAACGCATTCAGTCGCAGCATTAGTTCCTGGTAAGGACAGCGCGTATTCCACAATTCTAACAACTGATCAAAAATGCGAACTTTGATAAGCAGTTCTCGATAATCAGTTCTCAACAATTATTTGTTATTATTAAAGTTTAACATTATAAAATTAACAAAAATAATATAAAACTCATATCCTGGCTAAATAGCCACATGGCCGCTGAAAACCATATGTTCCCTTTCTGTTATCCCATAGTTTCCTAACTTATTGTGCATTCTTCCCAAAAATCGGGAGTTTTTAAAAATGTCTCGGGATGCAGGACAAATTGTTAAAAATTGGGGCTGTCCCACCAATAGCGGGACGATTGGCCACCTTATATTATTATTATAGGAGGTCAAATCGTTCGGGTATTGAAAAAGAACCAGCCTTTCTCGCAGGGTCATTTGTCATGTTAAGAGGAATGCTGGGACTCCACTTCCAAACACAGAAAGATTTGGGTGGCTGAGGATTCAGAAATCAGTCCTCATCACAGAGAGGAGGGGTTAAGAATTAAAACTTGGTTCTGTAAAGGACCTGGCAGAAACTGGTCCATCTTGGGAAATTGACAACTCTATTCTTCTGGACAGTTGTCCTTGACGCCTTTCTCTCACACCTTATAACTGATCTATTTAGAAATCTGGTTGGCTCTTCCTTTAAAAAATATACTCAGAGCTGAAACCGATTTGGCTCAGTGGATAGAGTGTCGGCCTGTGGACTGAAAGGTCCTGGGTTTGATTCCGGTCAAGGGCCTGTACCTTGGTTGCGGGCACATCCCCAGTGGGGGGTGTGCAAGAGGCAGCTGATCGATGATTCTCTCTCATCGATGTTTCTAACTCTCTATCCCTCTCTCTTCCTCTCTGTAAAAAAATCAATAAAATAAAATAAAATAAAATAAAATAAAAATATATTCAGAATCTTCTGCCATCTGGTTCAAGTCACCAGCACCTCCAGCCTGGACTATTACAGTAACCCACTCCCTGGCTTCTTGGTTTCCCTACTGCCCTCCACAATCAAGTCCACTCAGTCAGAGGGACCCTGCTAACACCTGCCAGATTATTCCCCTTCCTTAACTTAGAGCCCTACCCTGGTGTCTGGTCTGACTTTTAGTCTAACCTGAAAGTCCTTACAAATGACCTACACAATTGCCCTCCCCCTTTTTTTTACCCTCATCTCTGTAAAAACTGATAAAACCTTATTCAAAATGGAGTTGGAAAATCCTGAAGGGAGAGTTCTCATCACACATAATGAAAAAAACATAAGATATTTTTATTAATATCAGAGAGGAAGGGAGAAGGAAAGAAAGGAACATCAATGGTGAGAGAGAATCATAGAGAGAGGCTGCCTCCTGCATGCCCTCCACTGGGGATCAAGACCTAAACCTGGGCATGTGCCCTCACCTGGAATCAGAATGTGACCTGGTTCATAGGTCGACTCTCAACACAGCCCTGCACGCCACCCAGGCAAGAATTATTTTAACAAGGTCTGTTTCTCAACTTCTTGTCTGTGTTACTTTTCATCTAGTTCAAAAGAGATATTTTTCTTTTCGTTTTTATTTTTTTTTTATTTTTTTTATTTATTTTTTTTTAAATATATTTTATTGATTTTGTACAGAGAGGAAGGGAGAGAGATAGAAAGCTAGAAACATCGATGACAGAGAGTCATCGATCAGCTGCCTCTTGCACGTCCCCTACTGGGGATATGCCCGCAACCAAGGCACATGCCCTTGACCGGAATCGAACCTGGGTCCCTTCAGTCCCCAAGCCAACGCTCTATCCATTGAGCCAAACCGGTCTCGGCATTGAGCCAAACCGGTCTCGGCTTCTTTTCGTTTTTAAAATATATTTTTTTATTGATTTTTATTTTTTTTATTTTTATTTATTTATTTATTTATTTATTTTACAGGGAGGACGGGAGAGGGATAGAGAGTTAGAAACGTCAATGAGAGAGAAACATCTATCAGCTGCCTTCTGCACACCCCCTACTGGGGATGTGCCCGCAACCAAAGTGCATGCCCTTGACTGGAATTGAACCTGGGACCCTTGAATCCGCAGGCTGATGCTCTATCCACTGAGCCAAACTGGTTAGGACAAAGGAGACATTTTTCACATGGGAATTTTATGTCCTGCTAAAGAGAGAAGGGAAAAAAAGATTCCTTGCTGCCCAACAATAACACACTAGCCACCGTTTGCAGCCAGTGAAAAACCACTGCAACCTCAAACTCTTGTCCTCCTTTAGTGGACTTTTGCTCAAAACCACCCTCCCCAATTTCCTCCTAAAACCTAATAAAAGCTGACCTTCCCTTTGTCTCTTTGGACTTGCCTATAGTTTGCTACATTTGCCTGTCCTATTCCTGAATAAACTAATTTTTTGAGCTTGCTTCAGTTTACCTTTTAAAATCAACATCTCCTACCCTTCTTCTCACTGTCACTGCATCAGCCTGGGAGCTGGCCGCCTCAAAGGCCTTTACATATGTGGACTGGCTCCCTCCAAAGAGCCTTTGTGCTTGTTGCCCCTTAGCCTGGACTGCTCTTCCACAGCTGGCTCCCGCCTCACCTCCTTCAGTTTTTTGCTCAGATGCCACCTTCTTGGTGAGCCCTTCTCAGACTAAGTATTTGAAGTTGCCATCTTGTCAGCCTCCATCTCCCTTCTCTACTTTATTTCTCTATAACACGTATCCTCTCAGACATGACATCCTTTCTTTTATTGTGTTTACCTTCTTTTGTTTTCCTCAATATAATAAAAGATTGCAAGTATCTTTTTGTCTTACCATTGTATCTCCAGCATCTGAAATATCACCTGGCATATAGGAAGTACACTATAAATATTTGTTGAAGGAGTGAATTTCTTGTGTGAATGAAGCGCCTAATGTGGACTGGACAAAGGAATTGTGGGAAAGAACTGCTTTCATCCTCCTCTTGGTCTAGCCTCCAACCCTCCCATATACTGTGTTGGGTGCAGTGCCCAGACTTTATTAGGTCAGGGGCTTCTTATACATTCTGTGTCCATCAACATTGTAATTATTTGTGGAACTACCTGTTTATATGCCTTTATTCACTCCTTTCAACAAGATCTTCCTAAGCCCAAGTCCTTCCCATGCTTAACCCCACTATGGCTCCCCTGTGACCTCGGGACAAAACCCAGGCTCCTTAGCATGGCCCCACAGATTCTTTGTGAACTGACCCAGGGTCTCCTCTCCAACCACAGTGCTATTTCAGTTTATTGAACAGTGCTATGAGATCTCCTACCTTCAGGCTTCTGCCCATGCTGCTGCTTCTGCCTGGAACATTCTTTGCCTGATTTCTAAAATCAGGGGTGTGTGTGTGTGTGTGTGTGTGTTTCCTCCAGGAAGCCTTTCCTGACCTCCTCTTCCCCAGGCAAGATAAAGTTTCTCCTTTTGGTCCCTCCTTACCCTGAAGTTTTCCTATCCCAGCCCTGACCACTCTGGGCTGTCCCTGTCCGGTGATGAGTCTGTCTCCCATAAGGGCAGGGTCCAGAGTTGCCTTAGTCACTGCTGTATCACCAGCATTGTCCACAGGACCACTCAGCAAGCTCTCTTTAGGGGCTCTGTCGTTCCCAGAATGGGCAGGCTCTTCTTAGAGAGTCTAGGTCTGAGTTCTACGTTCCCCAGCTTGGGTGGGAAAAGAGTAGGTGGCTTTGGGGTGGGGGAGGGGAGTGGGAGGTAGTGGTAAGCAGTAGGTCTAATTCCTTGCCAGTCCCTAGCATTGTGAGAGCACACAGTAAGCCCATTTTGGAGCCCCAGTCCTTTTTTCAAGAAGGACAGAGTAGGTAAAGTCACAAGTTAGTGATTGGGTCTGATTGATTGATTGATTGATTTTTTTTTAACAAGTTCCAGCACAGGGCATGCACACACAGTAGAGCCTATGGGGGTACTGAGTTAGAATCCTTTGCATGTCTCATCACACAATGAGCACACAGTAAGTCCTTGGGTCTGGGTCTATTTTGGTCATGGTATGTCTTAGGATCACACAGGTGGGGAGGGGTTGGGTGGGTGAGGGTGCACACAGGCTCCCCAGCGGGTCTAGGTGTCTAGTCAGTATCATTGAGAAGGATGCAGACAGCACACGAAGGAAGTTTGACTGGATATTTTTATTCGGTTGCTGCTCCCTGTCGGCCCCTGACCCCAGCGTTATCTGGGTAAGCTAGGCCGGGCACGCGGCCCCCAAAGCGGTACGTGTACTTGCGCCCACCGCTCTTTCGCACGATATCGCGGCGGTAGTAGTAACGCAGGCCTCTGCTCAGCTTCTCGTAATTCATGCCAGGTTTTCTCTTGCGCTCGCCCCACAGTCGGGCCACCTAGGGCGAAGGCCAGGCTTAGTCAGAGAAGGTGGGAGCCAGAGGGTAGGGGGTGGGGGCTTAGCAATAGATGGGCCGGTTCCGGTGAGGTCCGGGCACAGGCGAGGTGGGGCAGAGTGCGGCTGAGCTGAGGGCATGCTGGGGCGGGACCAAGGGCTCGGCAAAATGAATGGTGGTGCCAAGTTGAACCAGAGGAGACCAGGGCGGACTGGGCGGGTCTGGGAGACTGCCCCACCTCTTTGGGGTCGCACAGTTGGAACTCGAGGCTGTTGCCTGTCCAGCGGATGCAGCTGCTACGCGCCTGGTCCTGGAGCAGCTCCAGGAGGAACTGCCACAGCTGAATGGGACCTGCGGGGGCGGCAGGTGGATACTCAGGTGTTCGGGCCCCGGTCCAGGTCATTTCGATGGCCCAGGAGCCTAGGGTCCCTCGCCTCGAAGGTCCAAGGGTCAGGTTTCCCAAATCGGGACCTAGGAGTCCGGATCCCCTCCTCCGCGGTCCTTCCATAGAAGGGACCCAAAAGTCAGCCTCAGGCCCCATCTCGGAAATTTAGGAGTTTGGGTGCCCACCTCAGAGACCTGTCATCTAACTCAGTGGCTTAGGTCTTCGTCCCTCGCTCCTTAGAAGACGGCCAGCGCCTGACTCCTCCCTTCCCTGCGGACTCCGGAGGGAGGTCTTAGCACTAAGTCCCGCCCCTCTCCGCCCATCTCTCGGGTGCCCCCCCCCCCCCCTTCGGCGTCCAGGCCCGTCTCCCACCCCTCCAGCCTCGCTCCCTCACCTCGGTGGTTCGTTTTGGGATAACAAGCCAGCGTTGCGCGGTCCACCTGCTGCTGCGTTTCTGGTTCGGAGGAGGTGGTGAGACCTGAACCCTGGCACTCCTCTGGAGAGGCGGTGCGGGCCGCGTGCGGCCCCCAGTCCCAGGAGGCGGGGCAGCCCGCGCCCCCAGGGCCCCTCCCGGAAAAGTGGTCGGCGCCGAGGCCCTGGCACCAGAACGTGGCGCCGTCCGAGCCGACCGGACCGTCCGGGCCGGGGGAGCGGGCGGGGGCGGGGGCCCGCGACCACGAGCGGGTCCCTCCGGCGCAGGCGGCGGAGGCGGCGGAGCGCGGGCCCGCGAGCCCGGGAGACCCGGCGCAGGGGGCGGGGCCCGGCGCCGGCGACACTCGGCTCCACGCGTCCCAACCGGTGCGCCCCCGCTGTGGCCCGTCTGACCACCACAGAGCCTGCGAGGCGTGCTCTGCGAGGAGGAACGGACCGAAATGAGGGGAGGCCAGGCGTGCGGCTCCCCGGCTCCCTCGGGAGTTCTGGAAGTCAGAGCTCCGGGCCCTCACGCCCGAGCCCCTGGCTCCCGGATCTGGGCCGGGCCACGAGAAGGAAGCGTCCCCAGTCCTATCTCCATTCTCCCTCAAAAAACCAGGGAAGCTAAACTTCAGCCATGGTGGAAGACCCCAATCCTTCCCTGTCCCTCCCGTACACTCACCCGCCCCCCATGGAGTTTCTGGGTGAGGCGACGCGGAGCTCCAGTCCTGCTGTGGGAGTCCTGCGAGGGGGAGAGATGTAGCTGAGTTTAGGGAAGAGTGTGAGGTGACTAGAGAGCCCCCTCAACCACTCACCCAGTAGTCCGTATTTGTCAGGGACTGAGCATCCTTATCACCCCTACTCATTCAGACCTAGGACTCAGGACCCAGCCCCCTCCTCTTTCGACCTCAGGAGCTCAAGCCTGCAGCCCTCTCCCCACTAAACCCCAGGAGTCCAGGAACGCCCCTTCCTCCTCAGACCTAACCTTCCCCAGCGCCCAGGGGACTCAGCTCACAAACACCTTTCCAGCATGTCTCTTCTGTCAGTGTGTCCTCTTGGAGTGCCACTTCAGGGAAGCAGAAGCCAAGCTCAGCTCCTTCTGCAGGCAATCAGATTAGAGCTGGTCAGGGTCAGTGGAGGCCCTCCATCTGCCCCCTCCCCTCTCTCCTCTCCTCCCCTCCACACACACAATTCAGCCCCACAAACCTACCCAGCCTTGATAGTCTGTTTCCCAGGGACACTCCCTGTGGCGATGCTTCATCCCACTTCCACAAGTCCATGGGTGCTTGTGAATGCTGGGCAGAGGGACGAAAGGCACAGGGTGAGCTGGTGACTCTGAGGGACCCTGCAGTCTGGGCCCCGGCCTGCTTCTCTCAGACACAGTAGTTCAGGCCTCTGCTCCCTTCTTCCCAGGTTCCTGGAATCTTGGCCTCTTGTCCTTTTTGCTCATACCAGTTATGAGGGACCTAAGCCCTCTTTTTCCTCAGACCCAGCAGTCCAGACCTCCAGTCCCCAGTTCACGATGGCTCACCTCTCTTGGGTTCCTCTGCCCCCACCTGGGGTCTCAGTCTTATTTCATACCATGCATCCCCTCCCCTGGGGGCCTGGGCAGGGGGGAATTTTCCGAGACGTCAGAGCTGGGGGTTGAAGCTAAGGTCGAGTTGCAGGGGGCTGGGGCGGGGCTGAGCCACACACCCCTCGCCTCCCCCTCACCCCCTCAGGGATGTCCGCCTGCCTTGTAGCTGGGGCTGTTTTGCTGCAGGGATGGCTAGGACTTGGACAGATGCTTGGGGAACAGCAGGCTGGGCAATGGGGGGTGCAGGGGGTGATGGGAGTGGGACAGGGGGCTTGGTGGACAGGTTATCCATCTTGGGGACTTGATCCTGTGAAATGAGTGGTGGCGATGGGGAGGAGGGTTTGGGTACAGCTGGGCTGTTCCAAGCTTATCTACAACCGGAAGGGGGATTTCCGGCCAGACCCTTGGTCTGCCTACGTCAGAATCCATAGGGGGATTGAGGGGGATGGGAATGGGGGGAGGCTGGACCAGGGTTTGAGTTCTCCCCTTCCAGGGCTTTGAGGACATTCTGGGCTGCTCTGGAGGAGCATTATCATAACAATAGCATTAGGAAAATAAACAATAACAACGGAAATAGCCGTCCCAGTCGGGCTGCCGGTTTAATTCCCGATTTAAGGGCACATACCTGGGTTGCAGGTTTCATCCCTGACCCTGGTTCGGGTGCTTGCAGGAGGCAACTAATCAACGTGTGTCTCTCCCTCCCTCCCTTCCACTCTAAAAAAATAAAATTCAATGGAAAAAATAACATTGGATGAGGATTAACAACAAAAATAAATAACAGTAATACTGATAGCTAACATTTTATTGAGGGCTCATTGCATGTCACCAATAGTGCCATGGGCCTTCATTAAACTTTCTTATGAGGCAGGTACAAGTCTGATCTCTATTTGATGGAAAGAGGAAATTGAAGACTTTCTTCATCTCCAGAGACCATGCCCTTCTATGCTATAATAGTTTGGGACAAATTTGAAATTTGAGTATAAACTGAATATGACATATAGAATTACTAATTTTCTTAGATGTGAGTGATATGATCTCTATAATGAAATGAACAGATATTTAGGGGTGATTATGATGTCTGTAAATTGCTTCAAATGATTCAGTAACCCTCCCCAAGTCTGTGAGCCTCTCTCTCTTCTGCCCATTTCCAGTCCCATTGTACTGCCTCACAGTACTCATACTTTTATTTTTCTGCTTCCCTCCCGATCCTTCCATTTTTGTCCATCTCTCAACTCACAATCTCTCTGTTCTCACTTCAAAACCCTATTTTCTGGCAATATTCTCCTTCCTTATCGCCTCCTTTGCCCCTGTGGTTAGTCAATAAAGGCAGGAGTAGGGAGGGCTAGTGATATGGGGGTGGGGTGGTGTTTCAGGGTGGTCAAGCCCAAATGACAGGGGACTGAAGGGCACTTCCTGCTGGGGAAGGAGGCCCTCACGCTCCTACCAGACTGGAAAATGTGACATCAGAGAGGGGGCAGTAAAGGAGGAAGAGGGAATTTGACACCTCTCCTGGGTGGCTAGCTTCCCCGAGATTGGCATTGTTTCCCACTTCCCTTCTTACCTCCTTGCAATCCAGGGTCCTGACTACTATGCTCCTGGGAGAACCTCATCCCTTCCTCATGCTGGAACCATGCAATCTCCCTCTGCCTCATCCCTGCCCCAGCCTCTTTCTAGACCTCAGGACTTTCTAGTCTCAGGACTTTCTAAAATGCAGATCTGTGAACTGTCTCAACTGCTGCCTTTGTGGTAAAGTTTAAGCTTTTAGTTTGGTGTTCAAGGTCCTGCATGGACACTTCTTCAAACAGCAGAGACAAGCTTGGAGCTGGGAAGAGATGGGAGGAGAGACTCACAGATGCAGAGCTAACTGATCTAGAGAGATCCAGATGCATAGCAAGGGATAAACAGGGCACTCACAGAGAAACCCTCAGAGGATTTACAGAATGAAGAAATTGGGATACAGACTCAGAGATCCAGAAGGTGAGAACTGAAGACTGGGAGAGAATGACGAAAGAGAATGAGACCATCTCAGAAGTGACCAGTTCCTTCAGGAAGCTCTCCTTGATTCCCAGGCTGCACCAAGCTCCCCCATTCCAACCCTGACCCATCTGAGCCATCACTGGTACTGGGCCTATCTTCTGACACTGGACCAGGAGCTTTGAGGGAATGACCTGGGACTGCTTGTCACCAGTGTGTCTCTTGCAGTGCGGAAGCTCTGGGTAAGTTTGCTGAAAGCCTAGAAGGTGATGAGCTCCAGAAGAGTGAGGCCCAGAACCCTTACCTTGGTGCTGAGAACACAGGCTGGTGTCAGAAGAGCATGGGTCTGAGCCTCAGCTTGGTGGGTCTGAGCCTCAGCTTGGCTTCAGCCCTGCCATAGCCCAGCTTCCTCTTCTGTGGAATGGGCTGCACTCAGCGTGTACTTAAGAGGTTTCCAGAAGATGTTATGGGAACTCAGGAGGGACTGAAAAATGCCCATCTGCATTTCTGTCTGTGTTAACTCTTAAAGTTCCCCACTATTCCCAAGTGGTGTTTGTGCTAAGCCTTGTACCCCAAAGAGTGCTTCCAAGCCCAGCCAGCAATGGAAATGAACAAAAATTTATTGACACTCGTTTGGGGGAGGATGGATGGGAGAATATTGGAGGTTTTCCAAAGGTAACTATGGGGAGGAGCCAGCGCCCGGCCAAGTGGGCGCGGGTGCCCGGCCACAGACCCTATCTCAGGCCCAACTTCTTCTTCTCTTTCTGCTTCTTGCGCACCACATCCAGGTTCCGGTCCTTCCACATGCTCTTGCGCAGCTTGATGGGGCGTGAGCCCACATACTTCCCTGTGGGAATGGAGGTTTCCAGGTCAGGTTTAGGCCAGATCTCCACCACACCCACTGTCCCTAGGGTAAGCCTCACTCACCATTCATCTCACGCATGGCTCGAACATAGTCGCTGGGGTCCTTAAAGCTAACGAAGCCATAGCCCTTGGTCTTGCCTGTGCGCTTGTCACGGATCACTTTAGCCTTAAGGAAGGATGGGAAGCGGCTGAAGGCGCGTGCCAAGATGTCATCATTCACTTCATTGCCCAGATCCCCACAGAAGATCCGGAAATCATCTGGAGTTGGGAGAAGAGAGGTCAGAGGATGCAGATGCCTAGTCCAGTGTCTGCCTTATTTAAAGAACCCCACCTTTTTTGGAGGCACCCCCCCTCCCCCGCCCCCAGCCAACACTTGTACAGTATTTACCTATACTAGGCTGCCCACTAAGCACTAATGAGGTTTGTAACCACCTGGAACTCCCAACAATCCTTTTACACTGAGGCACAGAGATGTCAAGTGGCTCAAACAGGAAATGGTAGAACTGGGAAAAGAACTCAGGCACCTGGCTCCATAGTTCTTTTAATTGTACTATCCTTCCCCACCCTAGGGACATCTTACTCATTCCCATGATGAAGCCCCTAACTTATCCCATCCCTGGCTTCTTCTCTGAGCCTTTGGCATCCCTTGGTCTCCTGGCTATCTCCCACGGACATTCCCTGGGTCCCTGACACTGCTGGCTCCCATAATGGTCCCCTCCTACCACAGACTTCATCTTTCCTCAGCTCTGAATTCTCTGCAAAGCCTACTTTTAATTCCCACTTGAGTCCCTGGAACCTGAACACACTGCCTGATCCTTCCCCAAGGCTGACCACAATTGCCTTTTCCAGACATATCCTCTGGGCTGAGCCTCAACTGAACATGCTCATGCTCACATATCCCCACAAAGCACATACTATTATTATCCCATTGTTAGAGAGGAGGAAAATGAGACTGGAAGGGCTAAATGACTTGCCCAATTGTCACAAATCTAAGATCTACAGCAGTGGTTCCCAAAGTGAGGCGTGTGCCTCATAGGGAGGCAATTAGAGAATGAATTATTATCTGAATTTTTTGCATTTCTTATGGTTCTAGAGACCTCATATACATATATAAACATATTGTGACATATTTTTGCATTTTCTCTATTATATGTTTTGAAACTGCTATTTTTTCATATCACCTCATATTATTATTATTTTTTAATAATTCTTAGTGATTTGTTCCTCAGTACTTCAATTGTCCTTTCTTTTATTTTTCTCTTCCATGAATGCCATGTTCTTTGGAAGCCTGTTTAGACCAAGTTAATGGCCTTTTAGGCTTCCTCCACATGAATAGGAGTTTACTTTTGAATAATCAGAACTATTATGTCACAGGGGGGCATGAGGATTTTAGAGATGCTTAGGTGGGGCATGGCAAAAAAAAAAAAAAAAAAAAAAAAGGTTGGGAACCATTGGTCTATATCCTGTACTGGCCACATCTGGGCCCATGCTGCCATGGCCATGGCCTGGAATGGTAAACTATCCAAGGAGAACAGTTAGAAGTCAAGGCCTGGGTGGGAGGTAGGTATCTTTCTTCACCTACAACTGGGGCTGCCCCATTGTTTCTGTGGTAATTAAGGACACTGGGAACAAGTTAGGCCAACCCACAAAAAAATAATCTAACAAACTCAAGAGGGTGAGATTTTCTATAAGACAACAGGTCTGACACTTCATATAACTATGTTTTGTATGTTTACACACAAAACAAGGCAGTGGGAGGGAAACCATTCTCATTAAAAGATAATATAGAGCCCTATATTATCAGTGGATAGAGAATTGGCTTGTGGACTGAATGTTGAAGTCTTTTTTTTTTTTTTTTTTTAATATTTTATTGATTTTTTTATAGAGTGGAAGAGAGAGGGATAGAGAAGAAGAGAGGATAGAGAGTATCGATCAGCTGCCCTTGACCGGAATTAAACCTGGGACCTTTCAGTCCGCAGGCCGATGCTTTATCCACTAAGCCAAACTGGTTTCGGCCAGGTTGCAGTCTTGATCCCCGTAGGAGGTATGAGACAACTGATCAGTGATTCTCATCACTGATGTGTTTCTCTCTCTCTCTCTCTCTCTCTCTCTCTCCCTCTCCCTTCCTCTCTGGAATCAATAAAAATATTTATATTAAAAGTATCTCAAGGCATAAACTGCATGTACCCTGATTTGGGGGGAAAATGGCTATAACATATAGTTTGAGAGAGAAATGAATTAATCTTATTGAATAAAAAATATGCAAATTGACCATACCTCTGCTACACCTACCAGCCACGCCCCACAGTCAATCAGAGCAAGTATGCAAATGAACCCCAACCAAGATGGCTACAGCCACAGAGAGCAGGAGGGAGGCTTGGGTTTCCCAGGCAATGGAAGAAGCCAAGTTTTCCACCTGCTCTTGCCGGCCTAGGCCTCCACTCAAGGCTACAAAGTTTCAATTATAGAAGATAAACAAATCCAAACAGAAATGGTGGTAGCCATGGAGCAAGCAGAGGCCTTGGCTCTGCTCTAGGCTACAAAGTTTCAATTGTAGAAGGTAAATAAATTTCAGAAACCAAGGCCTCCACTTATATTTATGTAAGCACACATACATACAGAGAGATAAAATAAATATGGGGGGGGGGGAAGGAGGGGCATGGTTGGCCTGCAAACCACATAGGCCCCTTGCTCAGGCTGTCTCACGCCCCAAGAGGACCCTCACCCTGATCTGGGACACCCTTCAGGGCAAACCAGCTTGCCCCCAGGCCTCTATCCTATCTAATAAAAGAGTAATATGCAGATTGACCTTCATTTCAACACACAAGCTGGCTGCTCCCATATGGTCAAAGATCCTGCCCCCAGGTGGACACAAGATGGCCACCACAAGATGGCAAACAGGGGAGGGCAGTTAGGAGGGACCAGGCCTGCAAAGGAGAGCAGTTGTGGGTGATCAGGCAAGCAAGGGAGGGCAGTTGGGAGGCACCAGGCCTGCATGGGAGGGCAGTTGGAGGCGATCAACCCTGCAGGGGAGGGCTAGGGGTGACCAGGCTGGCAGAGGAGAGAAGTTGGGAGCAAACAGGCTGGCAGGGGAGCAGTTAGACATCAGGCTGGCAAGGGAGTGGTTAGGGGGTGATCAGGCTGGCAGGCAGAAGCGGTTAGGGGCAATCAGGAAGGCAGGCAGGTGATCAGTTTGAGCCAGCAGTCCTGGATTGTGAGAGGGATGTCCAACTGCCCTTTTAGGCCTGATCCCACGGGGTCCCAGATTGGAGAGGGTGCAGGCTGGGCTGAAGGACACCCCCGCCCCCCCCCGCCCCCCCCGCCCGGCCTCGTGCACAAATATCGTGCACTGGGCCTCTAGTTTGAATATAAATGGAACATGAGATACCATAGAATTTTTGTGAATTTTTTTTAGATGTGTTAATGGTATTATGACATGAAAGAGAATGTCACTTTTCTTAGGTGAATACTGAGGTATTTAGGAGTGAAGTGATAACTTAAATTTATAATTTGCTTCAATAATTGAGCAATAACCCAAAAAGCACACATACATACAGAGAGATAAAATAAATATAATAAAATAGTTGCTTAATATATGTCGCTGTTCACTGTGCAACTCAGTATTTAATATTTTTCATAAGAAGTTGGGAGAAAAAAAATGTTTTCAAGCCAAGGTCCCTCATGAATAAAACAGGCCAGAAGGTCCTAAGAGCCAATCACCTCTATCAAGTTCTGCTCAGTGGCTGGATGAGGGCCTGCCTAGTCCTCCATGCCTGCCCTACAAAGAGGAGGCAGTTCTGAAGTTACCTGGTTCATCTTCCCTCTTTCTGTCTTAAGGAAGAGAGCTTGGTCTAACTTTGGCTCAGCAATGCCTGACCCTGAACTTTGGCCCACTTACCTGCATCCCACTCCAGCAAGCTGGGGTCTTCCCAGCTGCTTCCAGCTGCTGTGCGAATGCATCGTTTTAATTTCTCTGGCTTTCCTTTCTTCTTGTCCTCACCCAGTGGCTCTGGGACCTGCAGAAGAAAGGGGAGCAAAGGCTTGGTGTTGGGAGTCTTTTGGACCCATTTTCCCCCACTTCCCTCTTTCTTTGCTCTGCTCCGACTTTTCTTTGCCCTTCTGCCTCCACAGTTAAAGGATATGGACCTGGGTGTGGGGTATGTGTTTGTCACCCTCTCCCCATTTTTCCAGTCCCTTCAATGTCTAGACCAGTGGTCGGCAAACTCATTCATCAACAGAGCCAAATATCAACAGTACAACAATTGAAATTTCTTTTGAGAGCCAAATTTTTTAAATTTAAACTTCTTCTAATGCCACTTCTTCAAAACAGACTTGCCCAGGCGGTGTATTTTGTGGAAGAGCCACACTCGAGGGGCCAAAGAGCCACATGTGGCTCGCGAGCCGCAGTTTGCCGACTACAGTCATAGGCTCTTCCTACTTTCATCAATAGAAGACTACATGTGTTTCTGTGTATGGAAGCCCATGGGCTCATATCTGCCCCCCCAGTCCTTTCTATCCCCCCTCTGTGGTGCTCCTTACTTACCTCAAGAGCCATGAGGCCAGGGGGTGGCTCAGGCCTCGGGGGCCGGGGCCGTGGACGCA